GTATTCCTCTTCCTCGTCAAAGCCGTAGCCAAACTCGTCGTCATCGTCCTCGCCTCCCTTGTTCAGCATGTCCTGGAGGGTGGCCTCGGCCTCTGCCTCGGGTTCGGCGTCAGCCTCTTCTGCTTCCGCCTCCACATCTTCGTCCAGGTCATCTGGAAAATGATTGAAAGGAATGAGCATCATTGATAACATAAATCCCAAAGTGTGGACCTACCTCCTTCCAATACCACTGCTGACTTCACATCCTCATCAACTGGCTGGCTAACCGGCAGACCCGCCTCCACTTTGGGCCGTTTCCTGCTAGGTCCAGGCAGATCGTAGGATGGCCTGAAGCGACCTTTCTTCACAGCAATGGGACCCTCTTCCACGATGGCAGGTTGCTGCTTGAGCTCTTCCAGTGTGCTGGGCTTTGTATCAGCGTTTGGAGCAGGCGAATCACCGGTCAGCCCACCAATGCCCTCGGTCAGGGTCTTGAGAATCTCGTAGTTGATCTTGCTGGAGATCTTCTTCTCCTGCAGCATCTTCTCGATGGCCTCGCCGGGCGTGGACGACGGACCAATGACCTTCTTGCGTGGCTTGCGCTTTTTTCGCTCCGGTTTGCCCTCTTCCCGCTCCTTGGCCAGCCGTTCGTCGCGCTCCTTCTGCTCGAGCAGATACTCCGCATTGAGGTTCTTCCACAGGTCGAGCTTGGACATTGCCTCCTCCTCCGTTAGGACATACTGGTCCAACTCATCGTCGTTCAGGTCGTCGATGAACAGCTCTGTTTGTGCGGGCTGCTTGGCCTTCTCCACATCCTCCAGGTCACTTTGCGTTACCCGGCAAATAGCCTCGATATCGGGACGCAGGCCTTCAATGCCCGCCACCACGCCACCTTGCTCTGTCTTTTTCACATCCTCGTTGCTGGCTATCAGATCCTTGATGACCTCGGCATTGGACTGTTCGATGAACTGCCTGGACTCCTCCAGCTCGAGGTCGTTCTCGGAGACGCTCTTGGGTGTGCTTGGAGAGCTGGCCGTCGTTTCACCCTTTCCCTGAGTCAGCTGACGGATGACGCTGCTAGAGTACTTGCCCAAGTCCTTTTCCAGGTGGGCATCGATTTCCTTCTGCAGTTCCGTGAGCTCATGTTCACCCATCTAAGAAATTAAAATCAGAATTTTTTAAGCACATCGTAAGATCTTTCACCTATTTTTCTACACGTTTTGTCAATTTTAAAACAGGTTAATTGAGGTTACCCTCTTAAGTACTTAGGAAAGAATATGTATAAGTAATTAATTAGCTTTTTACAGCAGATGAACTACGAAAGATATTTTCACTCACATCTTTGATCCTCTCACGATCCTTTTTGCGTGCCGCCTTAAACGATGGCGGATCCTGTTCGCGCTCCAGGTCAACGGTCATGAACTCCTCCAAGGTCAAGCCACCGGAGGGCGTCTCGGCAAACTCGGAGAGGCGCTTGCGGAGCGTGGACTCGTGTATCTTGACCACACCTATCACGTCCACCAGAGTGCGACTAAAATCGTGCATGCGTGCAGCAATCAGCAGAGCTTTTTTTGAGGCAGAAAATGATTTCCTTTAGCGACTATGTCATAACTCTGACTTTAGCGGTTCACTCACCTGCTCCGCAGAGGCCGGTGGGTCGTCGTCCCGAGTGCATACAGTCCTTCTTCATGCGCTGCACAATCCTCAGAGCCGTCATGGACACCTCGTGTGTCTTGGGACCCAACTGCAGGCGATTGGCGAAGCGCATGATGTACAAGCAGGGATCTGTAACAAAAAAAAATAAATCAAAAATTAAACAAGGAAGCAATAAATAAAATAAGTGTACCAGGAAGTGACAAATCAAACATGAAGGAAACCAGAGCTTGAAATACCCTTGCAATTTTATTGGAAATTGTAAATCTGGTTATCTGTTAGCAATTCAATATTAATCAGATTAAAGCGAGCATTTTAGAAACCAATTAGCAGAAGATGGGTTACGATTATAACATTTTAACAAAAACTGATTACTAAAAAACACTTTATGTTCTTGCTAATCAAGAATCTGTAGCTCATAAAAGGAATTTTTAAGAAATTATAGACTTGGAGAGGAAAGGTATCTATAAAGATTTCTAACATAATTCTACAATTCTATATACAACATTATCGCTTTCTCGCAACATTAATATATCTAAATATTATCGAAAAACATCTGAAAGAGTTAATGCATTTGTAAAACTACATTTTGTATAACTTTAATATTAGTTTTCTTCAATTTTAGTTAAAACTAATAATAGGCACTTTTTTATTTCATATAAACCGAATACCTAATTAATATATATTACAAAGTTAATATATCGATTATATACCGACCTTCAGGCCAAATATCGATACTAATTTTGATCCTTATACCATATTATTTTTTTTATGTTTGCAAACTCCTTGATTAACTTGCAATACCCTTCAATCACCTAGAGTATTCCCTATAAAATCAAAAGATTTCAATAAAAATTAACAAACTGCAAGAGCATCAGCCGAAGAACTTGTTCGACGACCTTGAAGTCGGCTCGAATCGGTCTAGCCAATGAAACCGAAAACATTCAATAACCGGCCCGGGCCCACGTCTTCATGGACAGCTGCCGAAATAAACAATCTTGAACCCGAACTTCAGGTATGATATTATTCAATTCATTCAACTTTTACATGGCAATGAGAGAGAGACACAGAGAGGTTGAGAGCTGGAAGCCGAAGTCCAAGAGTGATCGGGCCACACGAAGGCGTTTTTCTAGCATGCGATAAATCCGTCTAGCTCTACACGAACATCACGCATACGTCACGTAGTCCCGCGAAAAAGGTTTCGGCCATTCATTTGGCCTATTAAACCAATAATTAGGTATATTTGAACTAGATGAAAGATAGAGCAGTCAGCCAAGGAAACCCACAAGCCAGCGTGTGCAATTAACACTCGGCCTAGTGGTCGTCGTTGTCGTGGTTGTCGGACAAAAACCAAAGCTTAAGCCAAAACAAAAGCGAAACACAAACAGCCATTAACGCACCACAAACAAATACGCCTCGAAAAACAGTGCGAAACGCATTGGAAAATCAAAACCAGCGGGCACTCGACCTTGCCAAAGATATTTGCCAGGCATTTCAGCATTTTTTAATACGTACTTCTCTTGGAGTTTACAAATTGGTCTGGGAAATACGTATGTATATGTATATGGCGGAAACTCACAACGTTTTAGCGACCATTTTCTTGGGCTTTCAGTGGGCTAAGTGGATGGTCACTTGAACTAAACAATTACATTTTACATAATTATTTGAATAATAGCTTTATAAACGTTAAACCATAACGGATATAATCATTTGTATAATTACTAGAAAATAATAATTTGTATGTCAGATATGAGTAAGACTTACATCATGTACATACATTCCATAAAGCTCGGGGAATTCTCTTTTTATTTGCAATAAAAAAATAATAACTATATTTAAGTGTGCCTTGAAGAGTACAACTATACACACATTCAACCAGCAATTAAGTACATTTGAAATAAAAGATTTAATGAAGATATTTCGAATTTGTAAACATAAGAACTTCAAATAATATGAAATTCCAAAATACTAAGATACATATTTATATTTTTAAATTAATTCAAAATATTTCCCTATATTAATAGTTAAAACCCGCTCTTGATGCCTTAATCTTTGTGTCAACAGTCGCTAAAATCATTAATTTTGTCTGGAATTTTGTAATATTTATTCCCTGCCCCTGCAGGGCACATTAGCCTAGGTCTTACTGGTAAATCCGCCGCCCTTTCACCCGATCCAGCCAAGTCGGTTGTTTATGCAGCGCCACTTGACACACAAAGGCAGATGCTGTTAAGCGTCAACCCCTGCTGGCCGGGGGATGAGGATGCTTGTCAAAGTCTCGCTAACTGTACTCCACGAACAACAGCAAGAAAAAAAACAGAAAGAACTCCGCAAAAAGGGAGAAAAAAATTATTTATTAAACCCTAATGAATGCGCACATTTGCGGAGGCCCAGCAGCAGCTCCTCCTCCTGCTGCTGCTGCTGCTGCTGAAGTGGTCCACTTGAAAAATGATGCCGCTGCTGCGGCAGTGACTGCGAACTGCGATTGGAAACTGTGACTGCATTGACCCTTCAGCCCGGCGCCCACTCATCCGGCACAGCTGTTACTCGAGCTAACTGTTCCAGCTGCACTGGGAAATATAATTTCAAGATGTACAAGAATATACTGACAATCGCTTGATTTATTTACCAAAACATTCTATAATAAGCTGCAGAGTGACTGGGATTTCTGAGATTTTAAGACGGAAATTCAAAGGACTTTAGACTTTGGGCTAATTTCTTCAAGTGCTGAGCTGCTGCTTGACAGTTGCCAGCACGGCTGCTGCTAATGGTTTCTTAATGTCACCCCGGAACCCCTCTTTTAGCAAGAGAACCGCCTCCGAGCTACTGCAACTGCAACTGCAACTGCGGCTAGTGAAATGATTATTATTTAAACTTTATTTTTGCGTTTGTCATGACAGCAATTATCATTTCGGGTGCGGTCTACCCTTCGGCCTGCCCCTGCCGCTGATTACTTCGCATTTTGGTGGAAAAATGCCAGCAATTTGGGTTCGAGTTTCCCTTCCACACCAGCAATTAACTGCGCTTTGCTGCTGCTACTGCTGCTGCTGCTGCTTTAATTGTTTCGTAATTGACCAAGAACGCGCGATAAATGAGGAAATGCAATCTGAGGAAATGTCTCGTTCGAGAGTCGTGTCAACAGAAGCTGAAGCATAAAAATTGGTTAGCACCACCCAGTGGATGTGGTATTTAAGTAAATGAAAATCAAATCGTGGTCAAGCATATCGCATGCAATAAAAACTCAGCCGATTGTCGAACGTCGATCGTGGTCGATCGGGTCGTCGCGGGTCTCGAGTTGCCGGTTTTGTGTCTCATTCGAAAAATTCGTATCTCTCACAACGAATTCGTTCGTTGACTCGCGCAGTCGCAGAGTCTCAGCCCGAATAAAAAAGTAAAAATCCCAAAAATTAAAACGTGGCCGGTCGTCGCGCCTGCGCAAACCACAAAAAAAAGAGGAGAGGAAGCTGCGTGGAACAAGTCCCTCTAAAAAACCTATTTCATCAGGGTTGTCTGCCGCCCGTCCGCCCAACAAATTACAAAAATGTGTGTATATTTGTCTGATTGCTTGTTAAAGTAATAATAATAATCGTTGGCAAAGTGCGCGTAGCTCGTTTGTTTGTTCTTCTGTTGACGTTTTAATTTATGTGCACTTTTGGTGTGTGTGGTTTTTTTTCACTCACACACGCAACACACTCAGCTGACAGCTTTGCGATGCCGGTTGAGCGTGTAAAAAATACAAAACGTAAAGAAAATTACGAGTGAAGTGCAAATACATATAACAGCAAAAAAGCCCCAAAAATTCCGTTTAGATAATTATTTATTATGTTTTGTGTCTGGAATACTCTCTCTCGGCTTACGTCACGTGTTTAGAGAGTACGACTAAATATAGAACTCATTGATTTCTGCGGTTAATTGATTGTCTAAACACTGTGCTTAACCCATTAAGACCTTTTTAAGAGTCACCCTTGCTAAATTCCCTTATAATTCAATGTGCCAAAGTGAATTAATGACTGACTTAATGATCTTAATCTTAATGATCGACCGACGCCTCAGTGTAACCAATCGGGGGAGATCTCAATCAAGGCTCAACAACTCTCTTATCACCCGATGGAATAATAAGTCTCGCCGTGTAATTATACGTTGGCTGCACTCTTCCCCGTTAATTGTCATGCATTTGGCTATAATTTACTGCTCATAACTATGGTTTTGTGTTCGAAAGGTGCTGTTTTTAATGACGGCCCTCCTCCTACTCCCCACTCTCAGTGTTTGCCAATGCCACTCGTCGTAACCTCCCCACAGGCTGAAGTTCCCGGCTAGTAGATGTCAGCCAAGAGATGAACAAAGATCGCTCAAAACTAAAAAGATAGAAAAAAAAAAGCGAAGCCCCTCCCAAACTGTCGATACAAACAAAGCACAACAGGAATTTGTATTCCCATTCTGGACATCGGATTCGCATTTAGAATTCCACTCAAGAATCGCGCCATTTGCCGGCATGAATATTTTAAATATTAAGCAACTCGATGACGGGAGATTATTAAACAAAAACTTAAACTTTAACTTGCACAAATGGCAACGAAAACTGGTTTCAGGTGAAACCGAAATACAGTCATAAATTGGAAAAAAGAAATAATATGTCACAATCACCAAAAGAAACAGAATTAGAATTCTGCAAATCATCATTCCGAGTCGAAAGAGCTTGCGAATGGGGATTTTTCTGGGCCAAAAGAATTGAATGCATGACAAAACGAATTACGGATTGTACAAAAAATAATGTTAATTCGTCGAGTCATTAGACAAAATGCAACCATGACTTACCAAATAATCCCAAGAAATATGAAAAGTGAGTGAGAAAAACTGCATGTTAATGTATAAAAAATTATCTGCAAATTAAAGCGTCTAAAGCCCAAGAGTGGCTCAAGAGCCGATAGACGGAGAGCCCCCAAACGACAGGTCTGAATAATTGCGAAACAACCTAAGGGCACTCGAAGCGAGGTCCAAACTCACATGGAAACACCTCACACAAAAGTCGGCACTCTGACAAAATGGAACTCAGACTTTTCAGGGGGTCGAGAATTAGACACTGTGGTTCGGGAATGCCACTAGACTTTAAGCTAGCCCTAAAATATATATTTAAAATATATATAATGACTGCTAATATATTCAGAATAATATCTGATGTATTTTCTTTAATATAATTATAATTCTTCCAGAGAATCTATGGCAAATCATCTTACATAGTTCATTCAGTGGAAAATTTGTAAAGCTGGAAGCAACCTGTATTAAAATTTAGTATACAATAAGCAAGTGTTGTAATACAAATGTTAATAGATAATAACCGGATCGCTACTAGACTTTATTAGCAAATATTATCCAATAGTTACAATTATTTAAATACTGTTGACCCACATTTTGTAAAGGTATTAAGAATCAATGATATATTGAAGGCATACATTCCAATCTTGTTATTTTTTTTTGGGTTTATCTCAAGCGAATGACCTTCAAGAGGCAATTTTAACTACTACCAATTTGTTAAAAGGCAATTTTGTAACTTGAAACTGATCGTACGTTCCTTGAAGCCCTTATCAGATTACAAACTCGGCCACAAAAAAGCAGAAACAAAATTAACAAAAGAGGCAAGACAAAGCCAAGACAAAATTTAAAACAAAAATCCGACAAGCGCACACAATTAAAGTGCAAAATCGGCAAATCAACAGGCTCATTGGCCGACTACTTGACCACTTGACGGATCGAGGGTTCGAAAGCTTCGACAGGTTGCCTTTTATATTGGCCACGTGAGCGAGTGCGAGGGGGCTTCAGAGGTCAATTGCTTTCCTGTCTTCGATTGTATCAACAGAAATGTATTTTTAAATTGTTTCAAGAGCCTCTAAACTTCTATTTATGATAAATACAAAATTCTTTTATGACTTTAAGTAATATTTTCTATGCCTGGGAAACACTGGGAGAGTTAATTGCTTTATGACACTTTTGGATAATCAGCTAAATGCGTGGCTATTGCAAAATGCCCTGGCCAATGGCAAATGCAACAAAAAGGAGCTCGTTAAAAAGGGCCACGAAATAATGAGAAAACAAAAGAGCCAAGACAGTAACTGCAAGAAAAAGAGACAACTCTTCACTTTTTGTTGGTGCTGTGTCTTCGCTGTGTGATCTTGTGGATGTGGTTGTGATTTATTTTTTGTTTTCTTGGCGAGCGAGCGTGTAATGAGGAAATAAAATCGAAAGTGTTACGCGGGCGTTGCTTTGGGGTCTCCCCTTTACCACCTTTTTTCTGGCAGAGAGTGTGTGTGTGTGTGCGAGACGCTGACCCGAGACTTTGGCCAAAAAGTGGGTCGCCACCATTCGCAATTAAAGAGGCAATGAAAAATGAAATAAACCCACCGAGAGAGCCCAGTAAAAACAACCGGCCGTGGAAAACAACAACACAGCAGCGAATAAAATTAAGAAAAGGGCAACCCAAGAGTTAATGCAAGCGGCAAATACGAGCTGCGACTTAATGCGGAGCGGAAAATAAGTATTACTATGAAAATCGGTCCTGAAAAATGGAAATTGAACAATATACAAAATAATAAAAATGCGAAAATACGGCAAACCGAAAACTGAAAACTGAATGCGCAGGGAAAATAACAACAGACCACAAGCTTATGAATAATAAACGTGACTCGATTGTTAAGCCATGAAATTAATTTAGCACAAATAGTATGCGTGTGTTTTGCATATGGCAATAAAGAAGGGTGAGGGGGTAATGAGAAAACGGCAGGAGGCTCATTGAAAAAGTGCAATAACCTGCCTAGAACAAGTCCATCAATTAATGAAAATCGTATTAAAATTTTAACTAATTCAGAGGGGATTATTGAGGTGGTTTATTTTAAAGCGTACTAAGCTGTTAATTAAATTATTAACAACTAAGAGGAAAATTCTTGGTTAAAAATCTATACATAAATCTGTAAATTATATTTTAAGTACAGCTCCTTCGGTTTGATTTTTACCTTGATTGCTTCCTTTTGGTTCACAGATTAATGATGAAAATCTAAATTTTTATCCCTTCAATTGATGTTATATTAAAAATAATGTCATATACCATAGACCAAGTATAAGGTTAAGTGAACCTTTTTTTAGGTCATATGGAATATTTTTAATTCATAAGCACTACATTGAGGTCATCAAATTAAGTACTGAATATAAAAAAGTTAAACTTATACGATATACCCGATATTATGAACTTGATCTTCACAAGTAAATTTTTAGAATTTTAGTCACATATTCTACCTCAGATTTAGTACAAATAAACTTGTGTAACTTCAAATCTAAGTATCTGCTTGGATTATTTATTACTAATTTAATATTTCAGCAATTTAAACCGCAGTTAGTTAATTAGCAACCTTGATTAGATTTAATATGATACTGAAAAAACTTAACTTGGAGAAGCAACCAACAAGTTTTGGTTTAATCCATGTTGCGTAAAGATAATTAGTGAAAACAATTGTCTGTATAAAATCCTCCACTGTATTATATATAAAATATAATCATCACATTTGCTGATTTATTTTCGACTTAATTATTTCAAAGGTGAATCGTGCTACGACCTAAGATCCGAGTTCTCCAAAGGCAATCAAAGCATGAAGAACTTCATTAGAGGCACAGACAACAAATTGCTTTGTTTATTTGGGGGCGTGGTCGGGTTAGGGTACATCCCCACATATCGACACCACACAGACTTGGTGATTGTAGAAAAGACAAGACGCCATGACGAGTCGAAAATGTAAGGCAAGAGACTGACTCTCTCAGAGCCAAGACCTATGTTCATGTCTGTCGCCGTTTTGTTTTGGTTACGGACTTCGCGGTGCTGCCAATTAAAAATAGCCGCTTGCATAATTTCCGCTGGCAGAGAGTCAGGTGCAAAAGGTACCCAAAGAGACAGAAAGACAGAGAGAGAGAGAGAGGGCAATGGGTTCGTTCTCTCCAACTGACCCAAAAAGTATTAAGCCAAAAATTGGACTAGGGCCCCCGCCCAACGCCTTACGGGTTATCCGACTTAATTCCACTTCCTGAAGCTAATAAAATGCGACAAATGCGTGCGAGTTGGAGTTGAAAATGAAAATGGTAGTGGAAGTGTAAGTGGGAAACGGAGAAGTGAAAGTGCACCAGCAGTCCCGCATTTGGCAATTTTTCAATCGAGAGGCAGCGAGCAGAAATTGAAATTGATTCCAAATTGTATCATTTATATCCATAAAAATCAGATTATGTTACATGTATCTGAAATTACGATTGCGGTTAAACCGATAGGAGTGCTCTGCCATTACCAATTTTTGCGGTCTGTCTCTCACAATTGGTTAAAATTTTCTATGCGAAAGTGACGTAACGAGGAATGGCATATATTATTAAGAAAAATTCAATTCAAATTCAAAAAGTATTAAATAAACCACAAAATTTTAAAAGAATTCAATAAATTCTATATAATCTAAACTCTTGTTTAACTTTCAGCCAAGAAACCAGAAGTTATGTGAAGATGATCTCGCCCCTGTCGTCCGAAAGATGATCGAGGCCTTTGCGAATCACTTAAGCAGCCACCTGGGACGCCACCTCTTCTACTGGGCCATCGAATCAAGCAGCATCGGAAGTTCGGGTAACTACGGCCTCAACCTGCGGCTCTCCGAGCTGATCAACAAATTCCACGGCCCCCTCGAGCGGGGCGTGCAGGTGCTGGACCACCTGTTGACCCTCGAGGAGGACGACTTTGCCGGCCATTGGGGCAGCGCCTATGCGCACAATTATGAGCCGGAGTACGCCGCTCGAGTGCCGGAGAACGAGGAGTTGCCACCGCCAGAACAGAGTAAGGATAATTCGAGTATTTATAACTGACTTTAACCCACATTTAATTTATAAGCTTTATTCAGGCCCAAAATTAATAACGAATGTTCCAGATGGGCAACTATATCATAAGGAAGGGGGATGAATGATGAGTCAAAAATTAGCTTAGGCAAAGGTCAACAACATTTTTTATTTTTCGGCACACATCTTCGATCTGCTGCCGGCTGCTGCTACTGCAGAAACTGGTTTTACTGTACACGAATGTGCTAAGAGATAAACAAACCTTGGACAAGTGAGTGAGCTCGCTCGATCGCTGTCCAAGCAAACACATCAAAATCGATTTCAAGTTCAGCGTTTTGTTTCTTCATATTAAATATGTATGCGCCCGGTACAGTCAATAAATAATAGACCAAATACGATTCGAGCATGCAAATACCAGGTAAAGCCAGCAGCAAGGCTGCCCCTATCGAAGAGGTAGAAATAAAGGTTAATATTCAAGGGAAAACATAAAATCCAAATCGAAATACGGTATTTAATTATTAAATTTGTATGAATTCTAAATTTTTATAAATTTAAATTGAATCATTTTCGTGAAATATTTTCCCCCAGTGTAGAATAAATCTTGAATCGGCCCTATTTGCTCCCACACGTACGCCGTTTAATGGCGCGCCATGACGGAAATACCTATTAGTATCGAGTGACCATGATATAATCCAAATGGCTTGCGAAACCCAAAGCAGACGTATTTCTCAGCTAATTCAAATTCAAAACACGCGCCTAGCCCGCACGTTAGCCAGCACTAAAGTCTAGAGTGACCACAACTCACAGAAAAGTTATCGTTATCGTTATCGCTGTCAACTCTATTGTTTTTGTTAATGTTTGTAACTTTAAAGGGCAGCATTTCTTTTTTATAAACCACAGAGGTTAATTCAGCCTATTATTTCTATAATTTTGACATCCCAATCGGAACTCGACTTTGTTTTTAAAAATTTCTGTCATCGTGTAGAATCTAAAGTTCACATGAGTTGGCAGCACTGCTTTGTTATCGGAGCAAGAACAAATCAAACAAACCGTAAAAAAAACACAAAAACAAAGCGCAGTTCGGAAAAATAAAATGGAGGGCGTTAAAATGGTTAATTGAATGCAAATGTTTAAACAACCAGTGCTTGGAGCTACAGCCCGACCCGCGCGTTAACAGTGCTTAGCTGCCTTTCCGTAGAATCGCGAGTTACGACGATGGCCAGCAGCAGTAGTAATAATTCCTCGGCCAACAATCACGGCGGCAATAGCAATAATCCCCTGAACAGATTATCGCTGAAATCCGCTGGAAAACGTAACCAGGAGAGCATGTCGCATTCCCAGCCAAACGGCGGATGGATCAATGGTAAGGGGGCGACCAGGCCAGCCCGAGGAAAAACCAGGGGGAGCACTGGCCCGTGGAAAAGGGCGAAAGACACAAAGAAAGAGGCAGCACGACGGCAGGTGCCGTCGCCGCCGTGTGTGTCTGTGAGTTATTGATTTTCACACAACTCGGAGCCAGGCAAGGCAGTGTCACCAGTGGAAAGGGGGCGTGGAAAGGGGGGCTGTGTCTGGCAACAAAAACAACAGCTACGACAGAATGCGTTGCTATTTTGAGACGCTCCACTTTTAGTTTACAGTGAAACCAGGAACTCATTACTTATTCGAGTTTGTATTTTTACTAATCTTAATTTTACTTTAAAGAATTAAACAAAACTAGACTTAATATAAAAGGGAAAGTGTATAAAAAAGCTAATTAAAATCTTAAATTCTTCATTAAAGTTAAATGAGTTTAAAAATGTTAAAAATATGAAAACAAAGAATTCTTAAATATTATATTCACTGAATCTATAGGTAGGTTTTCGTTTTATAGCCAAACCAAGAAACTTTAGCAATTTATTAATTAAACATTGCGGCTCTCGATGACACACAAATATTGAACTGAGGGTCAACTGCAATTAATTTGCATTTTCAAAGGCAGATGTACACATAGGAAAAAATTTAATGGGGAATACCTATGCATGCATGGAGAAAAAACCAAGAAAAAGCCGCATTTCAAAGCTTTATTAATGGAATATTATAAATAAATTTACCTTGTAACAAATGCTTTTAACATTTCCAAAGGTTACTCAATTTATAGAAGCTCCACTGTAGTTTTGGGGCAAAATAATTGTGGAAAAGGGGAAGACCCTGGCATTCGTTATTTATGATGCACACGCAGCGGAAATTGCACAAATGTGGCCACGCGTGCTGCTGATTCTCAACGAGCTGGGTGGGAATAATCAGACTAGAGAGTATAACCCATATAACCCGAAAATATTTAATGGTTTATTCCCTCTAATCCACAGTGGAAACACTCAACAATGGCAACGGGCTGCTCCATTCACCGCCCCACAATCACCAGCAGCAGCAGCAGCAGCAGCGGGGTGGAGGAGGAGTCTCTCCGCCCGGCGGTGCCTCGTCTGGAGCGGATCACAATATACAGATAACGCAGCCCATAAGTGCTCCATCCTCACCTCTGGCCTCGCCGGGCGCCCTAAACAGCAGTAGCAGCAGCAGCGGTGGTGGTGGGGGCAGTGGCGGAGGGATCTCTGGCAGTCCCACAGCCTTCTGTCTGCCCTCCAGTTCCGCGGCAGCTGCTGCGGTGGCTGCTCTTTCGGCAACACCCACCAGCGGCAGTGGATCGTACGTGTGTTCCGCTGGAACCAATTGGCATTTCGCGGCTGTGGCGGCATCCAATGCCATTGATACCGCGGATCCGAACTGGCAGGCCAGCAAGGCGACGGTGCTGGAGAGGAATGCGGCCATGTTTAACAACGAGCTGATGTCCGACGTCAAGTTCGTTGTGGGCGGGGAGTTCGGTAACTAATCCATTGTCTTAAATCGACTATAGAATCTAATCTCTCAACTTACTCTCCACGAAACAGACATTGATCCCATTCAGACTATACCCGCTCACAAATACATTCTCGCCACGGGCAGCTCAGTCTTCTACGCCATGTTCTACGGCGGATTGGCGGAAAACAAGCAGGAAATCAAAGTGCCTGATGTCGAACCCACTGCCTTCTTAACGTTGCTAAGGTAAACTTCCTTTTGGAGCCTAATTTCATAAGAGTTCCTAATTAAAATCCCTTTTTTAACTCAAGGTACCTCTATTGTGATGAAATCAAACTGGAACCTGAGCACATACTGGCCACTTTGTACGCAGCTAAGAAGTACATAGTGCCCCACCTGGCCAGGGCCTGCGTCAACTATCTGGAGGTGAAGTTGACGGCAAAAAACGCCTGCCTACTTCTCAGTCAATCGCGTCTGTTCGAGGAGCCCGAACTGATGCAGCGTTGCTGGGAAGTGATCGACGCACAGGCCGAGATGGCGGTTAAGTCCGAGGACTTTGTGGACATTGACCTCAAGACCTTCGAGTCGATCCTCTCGCGAGAAACGCTCAACTGCAAGGAGATCCACCTGTTCGAGGCGGCTCTCAATTGGGCCATGAACGCCTGCGAGAAGATGACCATCGACGATACGCCGCAGAATAAGCGCAGGCTGCTGGGACAGGCTCTGCACCTCATCCGCATACCCACCATGTCGCTGGAGGAGTTCGCAAACGGTGTGGCCCAGACTGGCATCCTCTCGTCGCAGGAAACGATCGACATGTTTCTGCACTTCACCGCCAAGGTTAAGCCCTCGTTGGGCTTTCCTACTCGCTCGAGGGCGGGGCTGAAGACTCAGGTGTGCCATCGCTTCCAGTCGTGCGCCTACCGCTCGAATCAGTGGCGTTACCGCGGACGCTGTGATTCCATTCAGTTCTCCGTGGACCGCAGGTAAGAGGTGTATGTCATGCATATTATTCACGATTTCAATGCCAAATTTCTTTTTTTAATGCAGAATCTTCATCGTTGGCTTTGGACTGTATGGCTCATCGACTGGCGCAGCCAACTACAACGTCAAGATCGAGCTAAAGCGTCTCGGACGCACCCTCGCCGAGAACGACACCAAGTTCTTCTCGGATGGCTCGAGCAACACGTTCCATGTGTTCTTCGAGAACCCCATTCAAATAGAGCCCGAGTGCTACTACACCGCTTCCGTTATCCTGGACGGCAACGAGCTAAGCTTCTTCGGCCAGGAGGGCATGTCGGAGGTGCTCATGGGCAATGTGACGTTCCAGTTCCAGTGCTCGTCGGAGAGCACCAACGGCACTGGCGTGCAGGGCGGCCAGATTCCTGAACTGATCTTCTATGGACCCACCACGATGACAGCCATGAGTTCGCCCTCGAATTCGCTGTGTGCAACGCCAATCGGAGGAGGATCAGCTGCAGCAGCAACTGCAGCAGCTGGAACTGCCGCATCCAATGGCAGCAATTTAACTAGCAACAATGTCAACGGTTCCGGGGAGGATCTGGCGGCTGAGGGCAGCACCTGATGCGCACAGCTCTACTGCGCCGAGTGGCAGGGAGCCTGCTACTATCGCCAGCAGCAGCAGCAACAATCGAGGAGACCAATACAGCTACAAAATCGAAACTCATGGGTTTTCAGTGCAACACAAGCAAGCAAATTGGAGTTTTAGACGCAATTATAGAGCGTATATACGGATATAGACATATACGACGATAGTAGAGTGCTCTAGTTTTCATAATAGTCCTATATATAGTCATACATATATATACACCTCGAGACGGTGCGTTTTACAGCTTCGGCACGGTTGTGGGAGCGAGATCATGTCAAGAAAGTCACTCGATTTAAGGAACCGTTCAAAGTTCCCTTCGTTATAGCCAATAGCACGTTAAGCCAGTCAAGTTTGCAGCCGCTCTGAAGCTGTGAAACGCACTGTACACAGTTTGTTGGCAAAATGCATACAAAGGATATTTTCAAAATTGAAGCAAGTTGAATATATATACACCCGTAACTTTATACACATACACACCTAGGTGCAGATGTAGTAGTTGACTCGAAAAACTTAATACGTTCCGTACGACTTGAGAGGGGGTGGGCAGAGGGGGGAATAAGTAAGTTAATTCGGCGCTATAGAGAGACGCACAGACATCGTAAATAAAATGCAATAAGCAGTGAATTCGGGGCAATCAGTCAAGCTAGCGTTAACCAATATTCTAAAGAAAGAAAGAGTTGAGGGGAGGTACTAATACTATATATAACATAGCAAACATATTTTTTGCCAGCATATATATACACACATCTGATCTGATAACGATATATACACCTACCTATACCTACTATTCAAGGGATAATAAGCCATGTTAAGAATTGCATACGACGAATTTGAAAGCCAAGTTAACCAGTTTACGTAATAAGTGAATCAAAAGTAATGCCCGAGTATGCGCAAATATTAACTAATTATATTCGAACATAGCTGCAGTAGTGTCTCCATTTCGTAGTTGTTTCATTATAACTCTCTTACATGCATATTCCAATACATAACATGCCTTTCTACTGACATTAAGCCCCGTACTTTGCTCCTATACGCATTACATTCTAGGCTGCTCTGCGCAACAATCAGTTTTACGTTTCGACATTATGGATTTCTTTTGGAAATTGTACTGATTTTTTGCTTTTGATAAGAATGTCTCCTACAATTACCGTTTTTTTATATACATATATAATAAATATATATAAATAAATAAAGCAAATGTTATCCTATATTGATTATGAATCTATTACCAATTATGCACTTTAATCAAACGAAATACATTATTAGATTTTCCGAATTTACAATTTACTGATTGAAATATATTTAAAGGGATGTGGGAGGATATATATTTGTATGTTGCCCCAGTGTGGATATTAATAGTAAAAGTCTTTTTTACAATGAGTAACTTGAATCAAAACTCTCAAACCCAATCATTTCTGTTTCATTTGAAACGAAATAGGAATTGATTACACTTAGGAATAGAATACAATGGAAACTAACCCTATCTTTCGTAAGAAACCCACAACTGATTTTGTGTTCACAACAATCACTCACCCACAGACGGTATGTTGATGCAAAGGGCATGCGATAGCTTCAAGTAGGTGCGGCCCAGTTCATAGGAGCAAATCTGCTGAACGTCACTAATGTCGATGAGAAGATCTGTGCGGATTATAGAGGCATAAGTTAGCTAACCCACAGATGTATGTAACTATAGGACTTACGGGAGGTGCCCTCTGTCCTGCAGGTCATGTAGACACAGGCAGCGTAGATGTGAGTGCTCTTGCGGCCGCGTGTCAGGTGCCTGCTTAAGGCCATTTTGAAGAAATTCAGAGCTGTGTCGGCATAGTGCTGCGACAGTTGCAGCTGCTGACAGAGCAGCGTAATGTCCTTCTTGGCCTTCTTAATGGTCACCTCGCGGGACTCGGTGCCCGAGCCCACCTGGAACTTGCCATAGCCATAGTTGGTGGCTCCGCCCGACGAGTCGGCCGAGACGAACTGACCGATTGCGGCAGCTCCATGGCCAACTTCCTCGAACTGAACTTCGGAGACGATGAGCGAATCCTCAAGCACCGAACCGCAGTTCATGCACACTGCAAGGCAAGGGATATGTTAGAGTACAGCGGTATAAGGATCAATCTATAGCCTACCCCGATCTCCGCGAGCATTATCTTCCTCGATCTCGTTGGATCCACAATTGCGACATTTTAAACCCGTCGACATCCTGGCTGGATTCCTTCGGTTTCCCTTGGTTTAACTCCTTGAGGACTGACGTTTCCAGTGAAATATTGGGAGAGAGGCTCACGCACAGCTTGTTGACTGTCAACTCACAGCATTTTTCGACGCTCTTTTTTAAACAATTCGCAATTTATGGCCAATTGAAATCAACACGCTCGCAGCACAGCTGACGGGATATCGAAACGACATTTTCCAACACTGTACTAGAGATGTGCAGACGTGAAAAATGCATGCCATTTTGTGTACCTCACGTAAGTGGTTGAAAAGATTATTTACACACTTAATATATAGTATTTAGATGATCTATAATTAAGCATTAATCTTGAAGTACATTTTGTAATATTGTGAGTTTTGTTTCTATATATTTATACATACAAAGTCTGAACACACATCTCTAAAATTTACAGTATTGAATAGCCGGCAAATTTAGAAGGTGGCGCAGTAGGCAATTAAATATATTACAGTCTTCAAAATAGTTACAACTTTGCTTGATATAATGATAAAACTTGATAAATAATGCATAAATAAGTGGTCTTACACTGAACAAAACCCAAACTTTAACAAAGTTGTTATTATTAAGTTATGTTTCTTTACAAGTTCCGATATATTTGTGACGTCACTCAACTCCCGTGCCTAAACCACCTTAACTCATTCGACTCCCTGCGCTAACGAAATAAACAAATCAAGTCGGCATAGAATTTTCTAAAAATCACTTGAGAGATCTTTTAACGGAAAAAGTGCTTTATTAAAATACAAAATGGGCGATGCCGACAGACTAATGAATGATACGGAAGCCGCCAAGCCAACCGCCGGCATCCAGGTGATTAATGCCGAGGAGGTGCCCTCTATTGAGGAGATAATTACCATCGATCCGGACTGCTATGAGCTGGATCTGAATCATCGTCGCATCGAGAAGCTGGAAAACTTCGAGCCCTTGACGCAGATCAAGCGCTTGTTCTTGCGCTGGAACCTTATCAAGAAGATCGAGAACCTGTCCACGCTGACGTCCCTCGAGGAGTTGGAGCTGTACGACAACCAGATCACAAAGATCGAGAACCTCGATGAGTTGACCAACCTGGAGCAGCTGGATCTCAGTTTCAATCGCCTGACCAAGATCGAGAACGTCGACAAGTTGGTCAAGCTGGACAAGATCTTCTTTGTGGCAAACCGCATTACAGTTATCGAGAATCTGGGGATGCTGACCAATCTTACCATGCTGGAGCTGGGGGACAACAAGTTGAAGAAGATCGAAAACATCGAGATGTTGGTCAACCTCCGCCAGCTCTTCCTTGGCAAGAACAAGATAGCCAAGATCGAGAACCTTGACACACTGGTCAATCTGGAGATACTCAGCCTGCAGGCCAATCGAATTGTAAAGATCGAGAACCTGGAAAAACTGGCTAACCTCAGGGAGCTTTACATATCCGAGAACGGAGTGGAAACCATTGAAAACCTCTCTGAGAACAAGAAGCTGGAGACCCTCGATCTGGCCAAGAACCGATTGAAGGGCATTGCCAACCTGGAGAACCTCGAACTCCTTGAGGAGCTCTGGCTAAATCACAACGGCGTGGATGACTGGAAGAACATCGAGGTGCTGAAAGTGAACAAGTCCCTGCAGACCATCTACCTGGAGTACAACCCGCTGGCCAAGGACATACGCTATCGCTCCAAGCTGCGCGACATCCTGCCCCAGCTGCAGAAGATCGATGCCACCCTGTGCACAGTGCCTGGATCCCACTAGGATGGATACCTCGTCACTGTACCCCTCTTTTTGAAAGACTAATCCAAGGCGTAACGCCAAAATAATATAAACTTTGCAAACTTCCGTTTAAAATATACACAAAAATTAACCAACAAGAATTGATTTACTTTTATTGCTAGGGTTTGAATTGTTACATATTAAAGATTGCTAATGTGCGTTCACCTTAACCACCTACGTATATTATTTTCCTGCAATTTTTCCCTTATATTTATTGTGCAAAGACAATGCCCATGACAGGAAATCACAGAGCTTAACTGATAAGTGGCAGCGCGTGTGCTTTGTCTTTTCTCCTTAATCATTTTTGTGCAGTTCGTTGAAACAATGAATTTTCATTTCAAAACAATCCTGCTTATTAATCTCGTTTCACAGCTTAATGGCATAATAATCCGAGGCGCTGACCTGGTGGGGACCTCCGTAGAAGTCCAGCACATAGATGTTTTTAATATCCAAGGCGCATAGGTAGAATGTGTGGGCTGTAAATGGAAAATATAAAGGGAGAATTGTTTAATAGCAATAAACAATACTATAAATTCTGTAGTACTAACCCGCTAACCAATGGACGGCTGCTGGATGGCGCTTCGTAAAGGCATTCAAGGCGGTCTGATAGTTGGTACCATTGGGATCCATCTAATAATTAAACATTACTTAAGGTTGGTTTCACAAGATCTATTACTGTTTTTACTCACCTTTATTACCTGGCCACTGATCATGGCACGGGCACATGTGGGCTCCATTGGATCCTGGCCAGCGTCCTTGCACCTTAAGGTTTGTTCGTCGGAGAACATGAAAGTAACTTTATTGTCCTTCTGCCAGTCCGGTCCAGTGAAATCCAAGTCGGTTAGCAGAAAGTGCACCTTGCCGGTGGAGTTGCCATTGGCATCGCTGTCATCTATGGAGATTATGTTGACCATTGGGTAATTTTCTACGGCTTTGTTGGTGGAGATGCTGCCCAAGGCAGCCCATGATGCACGATGAACCAATTCCCTGGCGATCTTGGCGTGGTTTAGTGCTTCTTGTCTCTTTAATTCCTTGATAATTCTGGCATCCTCTCTGGGGGAGTAAGCGCAGCTAGAGTCTGAACCGAGAAAGGCCAACACCAAGGTCAGCATTAGAGATGTGAAGGTTTTCATTGTTAGGCTGAAAGTAAGCAGGTAGAGTAGCAAGATTATTCTAGAATTCGAGAGAGCTCTGATCAGGACGAAAATTCGCAAGGTTTCGGTCTTGAAAGGGATACACACTGTGATTCCTGTATAACGAGACAGCCAAACAAAGGCCCACATTTGCACTGACCTTTTGCGTATTTATGTTCTTTGCCCCACTACGCTGTGGCCTGCACGTAGTTTATATATATATATCTCCTACCTGGAGAATAACTCACCTTATCGCTGTGCTTCCTTTTGCTTTGGGAATTGTTTGTAAACTGACTGGCAAAATATTGTGTCTTTTGTTATCACCTCTCTCGGGTACAAAGAGCTGGAAACAGCTGTTTGAGCTGCTACCTCGGGTTTGAGTCAGATGGTTAGGGTATATAGTACACCTCAATACCTACATATGTGTATATGTATATTTTTGGATAACTCACACAAAGGCCTGAATTAAATAAAGCCAATTAAATTGACTGGTACTGACTAATATATACAATCATTTATCTCCAAAAATAAAATTTATATTTAGAGCGATACGCACCTTTATAATCCGGATTTCAATGATATGGTTCTTCCATTTGTGCCAACAAAGAATATGATCCGATTTTAGTGTTTTCTTTCTGGATAAACATAATCAAAGCTTGATAGATAATATAAACCTTGGAATCGCCCTTAATATATGAGGAAAGCTAAAGTAGAGGGTACAAACCGATCGGTGATCGAAATACTGAAAACTAAGCATTGCCAGCTTAAAAAAAATAGAAACCAGACTTGAAAAAGGCCGTATTCTTTTTAACGTATTTTAACATTTGTTCTCATTTTATTTCGCAAATATTTATGGGTATGCTTAAATATGTTTTTCACTTTAGGAATATCATTATATTTTGACTTGATAGCGTTTACCATATAACTTGTACATTTCACTTTCATTTAACTTGACCTCGTTTAACATTTATTGTTTGTATTTGCGAATTTGGCTCGAAATTGCGCCAAATTCTATTTTTTCCAGGTTTAATTTTATTTATTTATTTATTTTTGTGTTGTGTTCATTATCCTAGCGTGCGAATATATTCAGTTTAACATTTATTTGTATTTCTGTTACATTTACGTTTTCATTTTTGTACCGTTGGAAATATACGTTTTGTTTATTTCGTTATATTAGACATTTTTTTGTTGTAATTAAATTACTTTTGCCAGTTTAGTTTACCCTGCCGCATACAGTTTGTTTGAAAAATATATGTACATACTATGCATATCCCATGGAGACTGAAATAAATACGTATGTATAGTATCTCGAGTGTTTGGTTGGCTCTTTTCTTTTACTTTTTGTTTTCTTTTTTTTTTTCAAAAAATAGATGTGTAAAAGTTGTGTAAATATGTTTGTTTGGATGCACAACAGTTAAAGTTAGTTTCGTTGATTTATTGATTTAAGATTTGTTTAGAGTTTAAAGCCCATTTGCGTTGCATTGCAGCGGAGAGTAGCTGGAAATTGTATCCTTCTTCTCTGTTTTGTGTTTCAAGAAATGTAGTTTACCATATAAAACTAAATAAGTTGTTTTTGAGCTGATAACGTGACAGATCGGCCTTAAAGTTACTCAAAAAGTGTCTTGAACAGAATGTATTTACGTATACAATATCGTAAACATAATTAAAACCTTTTATTTTTAATTTTTTCAAAGAAACTTGCTTTGTCAAAACACTTTTCCAATCTTTTTTATGGTTAAATCCAATCTTTCCCAGAAGAACAACAACTATGAGTCCATGTTATCTCCTAAATATCTTTTCCGCTTATCAGTTAAGTGCCATTATACGATATTAATTTACTCTTAACTTGCTTTTCTCTCCATGCAAACATACACATATCGTTGATTATGGTTATGGTAACTAAATGCTGCTTTGAAATCATCTAAAATATTCATTCAAATTAATTACAGACACACGACGACGCACATGAAGTATACGACATTATCTTTCGCTAGTGCAAATGGCTGCAGTTGATTTAAATTGTGGTTAATTTACGCTTAGACTAACATATAAAATGTCGATCTATTTGGGGCACCACAAAAAAAACATACATTTGCAATCTCTTTTTTTTTTTAACAAATTACACACAGTTTAATACTTGTTGCTTAATTTTTCTTTGCGCTTGCTTATACAAAATACGTCTACGGTTTAGTTTATGTGTATACAGATTAATAATTTCTTAACCACTCTTATGTTTTTTGTTTTTGTTTTCAAACAATTCCTTGGCGCTTGCGTATTTTTTGTGTAGTTTTGAACATTGGATTTAGCTTTCTCTATGACCAAACATCGAACAGAAGGTTTAAAGCTTTCAATTCACTTTCGTTTCGATTCGCGTGTTGAATTTGTATTTATTTTTGACTAGCTTTTGGAAGCATGAGTTAAGATAAAACCTAAACTGTGGACTCTGAACTGGACTGGACTTGAACACAGAAAGAAAAAGCAAATCGGGGCAGTTTATAATACGCGGGACATTGGTATAACGTGTTAAAGCTATCATTTTGTCAGCCAACGCACTCCAGTCGGGGTCAAGGGGGTGAAACCACATAGGAAAAGGTTTACAAATTGATATTTTAATATTAATGTTAAGGAGAATAAACTAAAAAAAGGGAACCATTTAAAAATGATGTTTTTAAGATTTTTGTGTATCTGAATATTCAGCAGATTAAAAATTCCAAAGAAACTAAATAAATTTAACGATTAACAGAGAAGAACATGCTCATTCCATTAAGAGTTTAATTTTACATTTAACTTTAACTTAAAGTGATTGAAAGTAACAAATGAATAATTAAAATTATGTATATTATTAATAATTAAAATATTAAAAAAAAATTAAAGTATTTCAATGTTAATTAAACTTAAAAAATTCTTAAAGTAGCACCTAACCAATGTAGTTTCCCCCCTAGAGGATTGGGTTGAAGAATGTGTGGGGACAGGATCTCTCGCCCGTTAGCTGAGATCGCACCGTTAGCGTCGGTCGCCACTTCTGGAGGACCCTCCGCCAGATTCTCCTCCTGCGGCAGCTCCACCACCACCTGCAGCACCTCCACCGGGCGCCTGGCTCACCGCCTGCAGCTCGTACTGATAGTAGCAGTCGCTGCCCACGTAGACGGTGCGCCAGACGCCGTCCACATCTCACATTTGGCGGTATGGCGAGTGCATCTTGAGCCACTGCAGCACCAGGGACGGTCCGCCCGCCTGGATCTCCGGCGGAATAGTGCTCAGCGGGCACTTGTCAATGTTTAGATATTTGAGGTTCTGGCACAGGGCCAGCTCAAACGGCAGCTTCTCCAAGCCGGGATTCTGGTTAATGTACAGATTCTCCAGGCTCTCCAGCGACCCAATCTCCTCGGGCAGGAACTGCAGGTTGTTTTCGCTAACAGACAGGTGAGTCAGGTTGCCCAGGTGGCCGATGCTGCGTGGTAGCATCGTGATCTGATTGGTCTGCAGGATCAGTCGCTGCAGCTCGTGCAACAGTCCGATCTCGTGGGGCAGCACCTCGATGCGGTTCTCCTCTAGGTCCAGGATCCTCAGCCTTCGCAGATTCCCAATCGTATTCGGTATCTTCTTGAGCATATTGTTGGACAGGATGAGTATCTCGAGGTTCTGCAGGTTCATAATGTCATCGGGCAGCTTCTGGAGCGCATTGGTGGCCAGGTTCAGCTCCACCATGTTCACCCAGGTGCCAATGTCCAGGGGCAGGGCAGTCAGCATATTCTCCTTCATGTTCAGCTTGGTGAGGCCCTTGGCCCGCGAGAAAATTCCGTAGGGGATCTTATCAATCCGATTGTGCTCCAAGTTGATGCTATAAACGTTGGTGAACTGCGCCGGTCCGCCAGTCGGGTAGCTGGTGAACTGATTTCGCGACAGGGTTATGGTGGTCAGCCCGCTCAAGCTGGCCAGCATTCCGTCCGGGAGCTGGGTGATGCCATTGCCCTCCACATTGAACTCGTCCATGCTCTTGCAGTTCTTCAGGGTGGCCGGCACACTGCTCAACCGATTGTACCTCATGCCCAGACGCACCAGGGACTTTAGGTTCCCGATGCTATCGGGTATGTCCAGCAGCTCGTTGTGCTGTAGGTCCAAGGACCGGAGGTTCACACAGTTACCAATGTCCTCCGGCAGATGCTCCAGGTGATTGTGCGACACGTCCAGCGTGGTAAGGTTTACCAGCGCCCCCATGGCACTGCCCAGCTCCCGGATCTTGTTTTCCCGCAGACTCAGCATGGTCAGGTTGACCAGCTGTCCCAGGTCGTCGGCCACCGTGGTGATCCGGTTGAAGCGCAGGTAGAGAGTGGTCAGACTGCGCAGTCGATAGATCACCGGGGGAATCTCCGCCAGCTTGTTGTGCCGCAGATCCAGCACCTTCAGCTGGCTGCAGTTCTGCAGGGACTCTGGCAGCGAGGTAAGCGAGTTTTCGTTTAGCGCCAGGTTGCGTAGGCTCACCAGGCACCCGATCTCTGGCGGCAGCTGTCCGATCTTGTTGCTGTACAGGTACAGCTCCGTCAGGTGGATGCACTCTTTCACCGTGCTGGGGATCACAGTGATCGAGGAGTTGCTTAGGTCCAAGCGCTTGATGCCTGCGGAAAAATATTTGAGAGCCAAGTTAGATAGTTAGTTCGTTTTGAGTAGGGTTACTTGCCTTCGTCTCGGCATCTCTGCAGCGCCTTGATGACGTCCTGGTCCGCCTGGATGGGCTTGCTCTTCTTGGTGGTGGGCTTGGGCTTGTTAGATTCCGGATGCTTGACTGTCACCATCTTGGGACGCGTCTCGGGCGGCATGGTTGCGTTGTTTTCGTTGTTTTGCTGGCTGTGTTTGTTGCTGCCAGTCGATTGTTGGCCACCACCTGTGGCTCCACTCGCTCCTACTCCTCCGTTGGCCGGGCTGTTCGCGTTGGTCAACTCCTCTGCACCGGAACTTCCACCGACTCCGCCGAAGCAGTGTGTGGCCTCCGAGGGACCTGTGTCGCCGCCGCCGCTGGCACTGCCACCTCTGCCACCACCTCCACCTTCTCCTTCGCCACCGATACCTCCGCCGCTTCCAGCACCTCCTCCTGGGACTCCCCCGCTCCTCTCCGCCTGGCCCGTGGACGATAACGATGTGGTCGATGCCGTTGCGCCCGAGGAACACAAGTTCATAATTTTGCCCAGCTTTGCGGTCGGCGGCGACAATGCGTTGCCCAGAAGTGTGCCCAAGCAACAGCAGCAGCAGCCGTAGCCGGAGGAACTCGTTGCTCTACCCTGTGCATAGGAAAAAACAAGTTGTTAGAAATATATAATTAAATCAATAACTTGTCATGCTTTAAAAGGCATAAACCATTGTTTTTACCATAAAATATCATCTTGGAGATTAATATTAAAAGGATATATATATTTATATATAAAAAATATTTTCTCTGAAGTAAATCAAACTAATCTTTGCCCGGTTTTTTTTTTGTGCAATCAGAGAAAAAGGAATGCCCGGGATGAATACCCGCCTCATTTATGGCTGCACTTTATCAATTGTGCGTCAGCCGGGCGGCAATCATATATCGTGCGTCATCGTCATGGTTGTCCCACCCAATCCTTCTCCACGTTCCCACTAACCCCACTCCACCTCCACATACAGACCGGCTTTATTACTTTTGCTTTTGTTTGTCAGTCGACGTCGCTCCTTATTAACCAGTTGACCATAAAGTTTTCAGAAACCCTACACGCAAATCAATAATTAAGCATTCCAACAGTGACGTCAAAATAAGGCAAACAAATAAGTTATAGATGGAGTTTTTTCGACAGTAGATACTCACAGAAGGAAATTCATTTAAACTTTATGTATTTTTAAGCCAATTTAAAAGGCAACATAGAGAAGATACGATGAGATTAATCTCTTTAAATCTATGCTACACCACAAAGGAAATTTAATTTGACACATAGAAAGACCTTTATAATTATGAAATTAATATTTTACAATACAATTTTTCATTCAAATCATCTAGAGTAAAGGTATTTCTTCAGGGTTGATTAAAATGAATGAAGTTTCCTTAAATCAAATTAAATATTAATGTATGCAAAGTGAATGCCTTACCCCCTGCCAGGGTAATACTTTAAAAGCTGTCAATGCCGCGGGGTACGTGAAAGAATCGCCAACCCACACCAAACCATTCCACCCACCCACGACACACACACGGAGGAATGCTCCTCCTGGTATTTTAACGGCAAATGTCAAGGTCAGTGAGAGCGGGTGTCAGACGATTCCTGGAAAAGAAAGCCCGAGCAGTCAATGTCAAAGCCAAAGGTTGAAAGTGCACCGCAATTTACCGTTACGAGACCAACCCCTTGAAATACCGGACGCCGCGTAACCCGAACTTTATTGTTACTCAAAGCCAACAAAAATTTGTGAGACACGCTTCTCAAATTTCATGGATTTTAGCATATGCGAACAATATGCACATTGAGGCCAATTAAACGGTCGCTCAAGTGGAAGGTGCACGGGAAAATGTATGTAAAAATAAGAATATAATACAAATTTATAGAAAATACTAAATAATTTTGAAATATATACGAGGTTGATCCAGAAATAACTTCGAGTTTTTAAAAGGTATCCAAAACTAGGAAAAAAAAATTGTAACATAAAAAAACACGTATGTACAAGATTACTCTGAATTCAGTAACTTAAAAAGTGAAGCACATCTTTTTTAAGGATTTTTTAAAGGATTTTATTGGGTTCTAATAAAATTAAAGACCCTAAATCTCTACTTCTTTAAGATAATATACAATTTTATCTGTAAAGGCTATATCTGAATTTAAAATAAGGTTTTTAATGATTTTATAGTAATAAATAATAAAATTAATTTAAATTAATATATAATAAAACAATACTATTTTAAGCGAAAATAAAATAAGAATTCTTCTCCTAGAAAAACAAATAAATAATCCTAGTTTGAACTGATTTCTTTAAATAAAATTAGTATTTAATTGAATACATATTAAAGAGTAAACATATTTTTTCGCCGTGTGGGGGATCTCATTCGTCTGATCGGCTAATGCAAGGGGAATTGTACGCAGCTTACGATAAAGACCCCGGAATGATAGATAGAGAGGCGGCTGCCCGGGGTACTGACAGTTCTCTGATTCATGGTAAATTTCCATTTCTTTGATTGCCACTGCATCGCGGACTCTGCTATATTCTTGCCATTGTTGTTGTAGGATTCTCGCCTCGTTTTGTGGGCGGGGAACCAAACACAAATCGGCACACAAACACACACATACTAGAGTATTTGCAGAAACAAACACACACACACAGCTCTCAGATTAACTCAGAGATAACCGCACAGGATGTGGCATTGTCCTTGTGTACTTACTTATTTCACTTGGAACGCCATCAATAAAACTGATTTTATATTCTTAGTCTTGGTTTCTTCTTTTCCGATCAGACCACCCGCACGCACTATTGTTATTATTCAATTTGCACACATCTTTTTTGTTGTTCCGCACCGATAACAATGTTGATAACAAACCTAGAGATGGCACTTGCACACCTGCCAGCAGTCACTGTTATTTTTATAAATGTCGTGACAGCAAGTTTTTTAATGAATAATAATTCTTGTATGATTTTAAACCAATCCATTTTTATGTTTCCCGACGAATAGAAAGTCTAGAAACATTAAAATGCATTTTTACAGCACTATTGGGCTATTCAAATATCGATATACACTGAGACGTCTTGCACTTGACTTATCGATTAGTTCAGTGGGCGCGCACTTTAAAAATAATAATAATAAATAAATAATAAAAAGCTAAATGCAATAAAATTGTAAATAAGTATATTTAAACTACTTATATTGTCCCTAGGATGAAGATTTTAGTTTTTAGTAATTTTTAAGATAAATTTGTGGATAACAATAATTGTTTTAATATATTTAACAAAATATTGCTCTAGCTAAATTAATGTTTCAATAAAAAATCTTTATATTCCTGGTACATCAATATAGTGCCACAACTCGCAGTGAGCTTTACGGAAAGCTTTTTGCACGAAGCTTTGGCATGTTTTTGTCGTAATGTATACAATTTAAGGAATATCACACATTCCTTGGGAAATATGAAGCACCTTCTCAATACAAATTTTCTTAGACTAACCCTTTAAATATTTATTAAATATGTTTTAATAAATATTCTCTGCTCAAGAATAATGAAATATGTAATAAAATTCCTTTCCACACATTATACACACGCGAGTAAACAACAAACAACGCCAAAGTGTATGCAACAAAATGTGGCAAATACACACACCAACTAACACACACACACACAGTCGGCGAACGCACACACAAGCAATTGTTATACATAATTTATTATACGCAGTTTGCTGACATGCAATGCAGACATATATTGTTTTTCCCCCCTCTTTTTCCACAATTAAGCAACAATTTTTGGCAGCAACAATAACCAACCTGTTATTGAATCACTGGGCGAGAAAACCTTGCAGCCTTCAGCTCTCACCAGCCCCGAGAATCCCGAGAATTATTTTCCTTGTGTTGCTCCTGCTGCCTGCCCAAACAATTTTTCACTTGCGCCAATCTGCGGCGCCTTGGCGTATTTTCCTTTGTATACTTTTTCTTGGCACTTTGTCCCAGCACGTTTATAGGCTTTACTTCACTTTTTTAACAGATTTAATTAATTTATTCTACTAGATGATATTTATTTGTTTTAAAATGTAAATTGAGTTGTACAAAAAGGAAAGCTTTGCTGGGAAAAAACGGAGAAGAAATTTGCGATAATCCTTCGCGGAGGTGACGTGACGCGTGCTTAGAGATTGAGTCTGAGAGTCCAGAGAGTATATATTGTGGTATATCCTGGCCCGTTCACCTTCGCACGCGGGCATTCGCACGTTGCGTATACGACGCGTGCGCACTGTGTCACTGGCGTCCACAGCCTCCGCAACCGGCCGCTAGATGGTCATCCTGTCGAGTTCGTCGTCGCTGATTAACTGACAGGCTCGCTCCGCTATAATGCGGTAATCTAAATAATATAAATAAGTAATGACTTAGACTTCTGTCAACGGTCGAACTCACCCTTCTGGTACTTGCAGTTGTACATTCGCATCACGCAGGTACTGGCAAAGGTGCGCAGGCAGCCGTCTAGGACATCCAGGGCACACACCACTTGGTAGCGCATGGGACACACATCGTGGCACTTCTTGGCACCTGGAACACACGAGAGTCCAACGATTTCACATAAAATATTTCCATAGATCTTATATTTTTCAAACGTACCTTTCAAGAACATAAATGAGTGACCGTCTACTCCGAACTCGACACCGATCGCTAGAAACACACAAACGAGGAAAATCCTCTCTCCCAATGTACAGGCTACTGACATTTTTGCTATGCAACCGTTTACAAATTTCGTATTAAAATTTTATTCCAGAAATATTTTAGGACTCTAACAAAAAAAACCGTGCTTTTCGCATTTTTGCTATGCAACCGAATGCTTTCTTTGAAAATTTCGTATTAAAATTTTATTCCAGAAAAATTGTAGGGCTCTGACAAAAAAGACCGTAATAACTCGTATGTTTTGTATTCTCAATTGTGTCAATATTTGTACAATTTGTATTAAAAATATTCAGCTGCTTCTCCTGCGGCCGGGTAATTTTCTCCCTAAAGTCTGCACTCATCGGAATCGCGTGGGCATCGACCTGTCAAATGTTTCGTCCACTCTGCAGAAATATTTGCATATGAATAATGGGTAATGGTGAATGAAGTTTTCATGGCTTACCCTCCCGTTTCCGGCAGGCGTGGAGGTCCATCTCGCAGGGATTCCTGTAGGTGCAGTAGATCATCCTTCCATTTCGCAGTGTTTTTCCGCATAAAAATTCGACTCCAGGTCTGCACGTAGTAGTGCAGTTCTGGGATTCTGTGACTCCTAGATAGGCAATCAGAACAGCTAGGATAAACAACTTCATTTTAAAGAGGAGTCAATGGAACTGTCTCCAGCTGCTGTGTTAATTATGTTTTATATATGATCAGATTTAGGCCAGCCAGTGAACTCGTTTCGAGTGCCATATTGTCGAAGAGAGACAAATGGTGGCTTTCTTGAACTGATCTATATACATTTTCACGTGTTAATACGTCATGGAGTTTACATTAATAAGGTTTAATTAAGAGTATTACATTTTAAAGCAGCACTAAGAAAATAAATTACAAGAGAATATGCCTTGAGATATTTAATTTAGAGTGTAATATATACATATATTTTTATAAAAGTGTACTTTTAGGCTTTACCGAATTATTCCACTGTTGTATTGAATACAATATTTATTGCAAGTGTATAAATATAAATTTATAATTAAACTAGTAGTTTGTTTAGAGCTTAGGGCAGGCAATTTAATTTTGAAGGGAAAATAACAGCATACAAATACCCAAATAACAAACTATTTTTTTAAACATAATGTATATTACAAATATTTATTGGAGTTCAAAATAATAATAGTACAAACAGTTAATATAAGTAAACGCACTTTAATAGGCATAATTCGTATACATTTATTATGTCCAACACTAAAATTTAAGGCATTAATAATTAATTAACGATCTGGCTCGCTTTATAAACAATAAATATTAATATATCCCTTTGGTTTGTTGACTTTTTATTTATTTACATGGTCCGATCCTTGGTTCACCTATGTAAGCTAAAAATATACAAAATAAAATAAATATAATAAAAGGTTTAAATACTTATATTGAATTGAATATCCCTAAAAAGATTAATTTATTGTTAATAATATTTACTATTTGTGGTATGATTTATAAACAATTTAAAATGTACTTACCATCTGCATTTTGACAGGCGTATTGGTCCGCATGGCAGAGACTTGAAAAGTCTACTTCCCGATCTTTTCTAACCCCATCGACGTCCGTATAGGTAAATAAGGCGCAAACTGGTGGACCACCACATGGTGGACAACAAGCTGGGCAATATTTCATGCACTTCTCTTGCGAAGTTGCCGTCAGCACTACAAGGGCAGATAATATATCCATACTTTCAGTTTGGAAAACCATTTAAAAATAATTTGCAAAAAAATTTACCCTTCAAACACTGGTTTTCTCTATGACAGTTGTTGGATGCAAAGATACACGGGTTCTTGAAAACGCGACAGACTTTATCCACTATTGTCCAGGTAAGGTCTTTGTAATAGGGATCGCACTTAAACTGAATAGTACAGGTCCCGGAACAATCTCTAGGCAAGGAATCACCAAGCTGGAGAAACCCGCCAAGCAGAGCCAAGAGGAATGACAACCTTACTGCTTCCATATTAATAAATGTGGTAATGTGAATTTCATTAGGAAAGCAACGGAATATATAGCGAAAGGTTAATCGAACTTCTGTGTAAACAGCTGAAGTAAAAGTTATTTATTGTTTTCATTTTAATATTAATTTATTTTAAGATTATTTGCTTTGTATTATCTATATCTTAAAACGCAAACCTACAAAAGAGCTGTTTCTTAATTTTTGAACTTTATATATTATATTTACGACACAACAAAATGAAAAATATTCCGCTAAACACATTTATGGGGACAGTGTCACTGCTCAGCAGGGCAGGCTCCGATTTGTGGCTCATTAACATAAGCTAGAAAATAAAAGATAATTAAAATAAACATAAGTATTAAAAATATATTCATTTTTACCCTCGGCATTCTGGCAGGCATATAGATCCAGAAGGCAGCGGCTTCGGAAGGTGAGACTCTTTCCGCCGTTAACTCCGTTGCTGTCCGTGAAGGGAAACCAGCCACATACCGGAGGAGCTCCGCGAGAACACATCCTAGGACAGGATTCCATGCACTTTTCCTTGGTAGTGGCCACCATAGCTAAAGGATTTTGTTGTCATTATAATATGTATAAATATATAAGAAAATAACTTACGTGGCAGGCATTGATTGGCCCTCATACAGTTCTCGTTGCCAAAGATACAGCCGTTCTGGAACACACGACACACGCGATCCACTACTGCCCAAACCAGATCCTTATAGTAGGGCGTACATCTGGCACGAAGCATACAGTTATTCGAACAATCCGTAGTCTGGGCGCTGCTTAGGTACAGTAACCCACTAAATATAACGGCGAGCATCGACCACTTGGCGTACATCTTGAGATAGTTGCGGACAGGTGACTGAGTCGCTTCCCCTCAGATACAGATATATTTATAAAGCCAAACCCATCTCAAGCCGAGTGTTTTGAACTCAATCTTCCATAGTTAAATCAATGTATGAACAGCTGCGAATATTATGCCTTTTATGCCGTCTGCTAAATAAAACAAAAAACAATATTTAGGTATTTATATTGCATACCATAAATGATAATCTCGTGAGCGTTTGGGCTACATCATAAGCTTTATTACTTAACTTTCGACAGCGCCCATGAACAGTCAACGTACGATTTCTTCTACACTTTTTTATAACGTCGAATATAAAGCTTTGAGTTATTATAATCGAATATACTATAAGGCAGAAAAGCAAGGCACAACAGAATTGCATTGTTTTAAGTTGCGGTTCTAGCCTGGAATTAGGAATTTTCTATTTCGTTTATGCTTTGTGCTAGAAAAATTAAAATTTAACGCCGACTCAAGTCAAATTAAGAGCAAAAAACTGACTTAATATCAATTGGTCACTGGAAGTATACAGACTTGGAAGACTGACAGACAGACACTCATCTTCTTTGATTGCATTAATCGCCACGGATTTTTGAAAGTCATTGCCTTTGCAGATTTCCGGTTTTGGCTTTCAATTCGAAAGTACGAGTAATATCTACGCACGCGCAATTTTTTGTTGTTTCACATTTTGATTGACTTTGTCTCTGGAAGGTGTATCGATTCGGAGCAAAGAAAACAAGCAGCTGGCAGATATGTGAACTCCTTGAGTAATAAATCTCTGGCTCTGTCAGCTTGGCGACACCGCGTGCGTTAGTGCCAGTGTGCGTATCTCGTTGGCCAACTTCAACGCCCACCCGCCGCTCGGTCTGCTTCGTTTCGGCCAGCTCTGGTCTGGCCAAAAGAAAAAAAGACATGACAGTCGACAGGTCGCAGCCAAGTGAATGGGAGCTCTGAGTGTTGTTGTCTCAAAGCGCCTGGCACTCCACTGAGAAAGGCCAGAGAAAGATATTTTTAAAATCAAATTTTTAGATAAATAAAAGCTTTAATTTATGAAATTTCTGATTTGCTTGAGTATACACTTTAAGAAAACTTATTAAACAAATTTGTATAAATTTTGTAAAGTAGGTTTGTAATATTTTTTCAGTGGTTAAACCTCCGCTACCCTCAAGGGGCCAGCTTGACAATACGTTTTCCATTCTGCAGGCTTTTCTGGAAATCTATTTTAAAAGGACGTCCGGTTTTTCGGCTTATCAGTCGATAAACGCATCTCTTAGAAATTTTCTGGCAGGGATTCTCCGATTTGAACTGGGCTTGCAAGACCCGAACTCCCTTTTCGTTTTTAATACCATTCCTGAAGGCTAATTTGACAGTGTCTCCCGTTTTGCCATCTTCTACGAGAACGACAACATTATGTAGATTTTTTCTATCCTTTTGTTGCGATACAATGCGGTACTTGGTTTTGGGATAGAGTAAATGGCACTTTGCACATGTATTTTTTCCAGACCTTAGTTCAGGAGTTACCACATTTTCGGGGATATCATCACTAATGACTTCAGCGACGGACTGACCGAGTGTCAGACTCATGACCGCCAAGAGCATCCACACCCACGTCCATGGAGCTGGCATGACCGACTTTCCATTGGCGCCCCACCGATCTCTTTAGGGAGTTCAAGTGGTTGCCGAAACGAATCGATTTGTGGCAGAAAATGATCGCTGTAAATTGAAATTCAAACATATAATTGTTAACCCGGGCAGCACGTTTTCCGTTCGGACTCCGCAGCCATTTAAGGTGATCCCAGAGTGAATGAAGGTTACAGCGGTTAACCAGTTTGAACGGTGGGTGTGGAATATTTTGGATTGTCTCGCAGCTCCATAGGCGATGGCTCCTGATAAGGGCAGTATGTAATTCGAAGCTGAATGTAATTTATTTTCGTATTATTAAAATTTAATGAGAATTTCACAGCTGTATTTACTCAAAACCTGTCAATGGAAGCTCATTCCCTGCTGGATTGGCCTATAAAAGTCAATCTAGCTGTCACAAATCAGAGAAATCAGTCAGAACTCATCCGAAAATGAAGTCGCTTATTGTCACTTTGAGCTTGTTTCTCCTTTCAGTTCAAATCCAGGCACAAACTGGGCAAGGCTGTCCCGACATTTGTCCCGCAGTTTACATGCCCGTCTGCGGAGAGGCAAAAATAGACGGAGAAGCTGTCAAGTGCGAGTTCGGCAATGGCTGCATGATGGGTGTCAGCTCCTGTCGCCATGACATAAGTAAGGAAGTACTATTTATCATATTTAAAATATTAAATAAATATTTATCCTTGCAGACTGGGGCGAGGTACCTTTAGAAAAATGTCTCCGACCTTCTAACAGCTGCAGTCGTTTTCTCTGAGCTAAAAATATATTTTTTTTGTTTTGGCAAATAAACAAGCCTGGTTTTATAGGTACATTTGTGACGTTAATAAGCCTAACAAATATTGACGGCTCTTTGCGTAATTTTTGGTTTGTTTTAAAGTGAATGGATTTAACAAACACGGTTTTAATTTACTTAAACCTAAATTTAGTAACAAAATATTATTTTAATAAGGAATGTCTGCAAATATTTAAAGTGAAGTCTAGTACATTTTTGGACTTTTAATTATTAAGCTGCATAGTAAGTATGCTTATTTCAGATTTAATTTTAGGATGACAAAATTTAAACTATGATTTTTAAATAACCTGCATGCATTCTTAACATACCTAAAATATAAAAGAAAATCAACAGGCTGTACAATAAAAATGTGTGACAAACTTGGGATGGTGGTTTATTTGATCGAGTTTGACTTCACCTTATTTGTATTTATGCACAATCTTTCGACTGTGATCTATTTTTAAGCAAAACCTGCATGAGCTTAGTTGCTATTTACTTATCTTATTACGCTTCTTAGGGAAATTTAAACTTTCCCACAGCTGTTTTCGCTGGTGACCTTGGCTAACAAATTTCAGACACTTCTGGCGTCTATAAAACCGATTCATCCAGAATTGCGAGGGTTAGTGTCTACTAAACGTCTTTCTAATAAGACTAAAATGCGCTGCAGGGTTCTGGTGTTGTGTGCCTTTATTTGTCTCTTTGTCCTTTTGGTCGAGGGCAGGCAAAGAAAGGTTAGCAGATCGGGAGCCAGATCCGTGGCCGTTCAAAATAGACAACGAAATCATCGCAGGACTAATAATAATAATAGTAATGCCCGCCGGGGCAATAGACTGTCTGCCAGATCGAATAATCAAAAGAGACGACGATTAAATGCGGCCAAGAGAAACAAGAGGAGAAGCAGCTTGGCCAAGAAATCCGAACGGAAGTCCACATCGAGTGCCAGCAGTGGCTCCAGCTATGCCACTATACCCCTGGACTTTAAGCAGAACTTCGTACGGACCACCGACAATCTGCGGGCGGACAAGGTCTTTGTGGCCCATCGCTATGGCGGCAGCTTCGCCAAGACTAATGGCAGCGCTCGGTTGACCAACACGGGCAACATGGAGTACACATGCAAGATGACCCTCGGCACACCCAAGCAGTCCTTCACAGTACTGCCCGACACCGGAAGCTCGAATGTTTGGGTGCCGGGTCTGTATTGTACCAGCAAGGCGTGCAGGACCCACAACCGATATCGGCCACGGAAGTCCAGCACCTTCATAAAGGTGGGCAAAAAGTTCGCCATAGAATATGGCTCGGGTGCTGTGCAAGGTGTCCTGGCCAAGGACAAGCTGGGAATAGCTGGATTATCGATTGCCAATCAGACCTTCGCCATAACCACCAACGAGCCAGGCTCCGCATTCGTGGATGCTCTTTTCGATGGCATTCTGGGTCTTGGCTATGAGTCCATTTCCGTGGACAAAGTCAAGACTCCGGTGCAGAATATGTGCTCGCAGGGTGTGATCAGCACGTGCAAGTTCGCCATTTGCATGAGGGGTGGCGGCAGCTCAAGTCGCGGAGGAGTCATCATTTTCGGCAGCACGGATACCAGTGCCTACACCGGAACGAATAGCTATACCTACACACCGGTGACCAAGAAGGGCTACTGGCAGTTCGCCCTGGAGGCCTTTTACGTGGGCAGCACCAAGGTCAGCGGCACCTCGCAGGCGATCGTGGACTCTGGCACCTCGCTGATTGCCGCTCCATGTGCCATCTATCATAAGATTAACAAGATCATTGGCTGCACTGAGACCTCCAGCGGAGAGTGCTGGATGAAGTGCTCGAAGGCGGTAAAGGCGTTCACCTTTGTCGTCAACGGTCAGAAGCTCGTCATCCCGGGCGACAAGATGAAGATGCGAGTGCGGACTAATAAGGGCAACATCGTGTGCATATCGGTGGTGACCTGTATGAATACCAATTTCTGGATTCTGGGCGATCCCTTCATGAGGAACTACTGCACGGTGTTTGACATGGCCAACAATAAGATCGGATTTGCCAGCTCCACCTAATTTTTGAATGTTTTGAACTTTGATCTCAAATAAAAGGATCCACGATATATAACATCACTTTCTTACAGGTTTATTTTTAACGTCTCTCTGCCTAATATTTATTTAATAAAGTTATTGAAAAATAATTAATTACATGAGTATTATCGGCCAACATTTACAGCCAGTTTCTAGAGCTAACCAGTTTTTGACCCAACCACTTGACTAATTACCCTGAACAACTGTGCAGTTACATGAACACCATTTCAGATGCAATTCCAAAATCAGTGAGGTTTCAGTTCTCAAAGTAAATCCGTTGACTATGCTTCGAATAGTGTTTTTGTTAGTCGCGGTTCTAGACCTAACCTTGGCCAGTAGGAAGCTGATGAGAGTCCCGCTCTATTCCAGGCCAAAACCGAATAAAAGTGAGCTATTCCTGGCCAGAAATGTAACAAACGGAAATGAAAGACTCAGAGTGGCTCTGAAAACTCGCCAAAATGTGGAATTTTATGGCTACATTTCAATGGGAACCCCAGAGCAACATTTTAGTGTGATCTTCGACACGGGTTCCTCGAACACCTGGCTGCCTTCCACGAATTGCCCCAAGAGCAATGCCGTCTGCCAGCGGCACAGGCAGTACAACTCCTCCAGCTCTAGTAGCCATGTCCCGGATGGTCGTAATTTCACATTATTGTACGGATCTGGCAGTGTCATAGGCTACTTATCGAAGGACACCCTTCACTTGGCCGGCGTTGATATACCCGGTATGGTCTTTGGGGAAGCAGTGTTCCAACACCAGATGGCTTTTGATGCCGTTAGTTTTGATGGATTAGTTGGCTTGAGCCTGGGGATTTTGGCCTGGAAAAATTCTACACCTTTCCTGGAGAGGCTCTGCGCCCAACGACTGGTTGAAGAGTGCATTTTCTCCGTTTACCTACGCCGTATTCCGGGAGAGACTCCCAGTGGGGAGATAATCATCGGTGGCTTCGACAAGTCCCTGTTTGAAGGGCAGCTCCACTATGTGCCAATTATAATGCCGAACTCTTGGAAGCTACAGATAAACCAAGCCTTTGTGGGAACTAAAGAAATCGGTGGCAAAGTGGATGCCATTTTGGACACGGGCACTTCTCTGATGTTGATGCCCCAGAAAACCTACTTTAATTTTCTGAAAAACCTGCCAGCCAAGCTTGAGGATGGTAACTATGTCCTCAGCTGCGAGCAGGAATCTCTGCCGGAAATCAATCTGCACATTGGCGGCAAGGTATTTCCCCTCACATCCGATGACTACCTAGTAGAGTTGGTAAAGGGCGAGGAAAAGATTTGTGTTTTGGCCGTGGCTCCCGTTAATATGGACTTCTGGGTGCTCGGCAATGTTTTCCTGTGGCGATACTACACTGTTTACGATGCCACCGGCAAGAGAATCGGATTGGCCAAGGCGGTGCAAAGTGATGGATAAACAAATACAGTGGTGATGGAACTCTATTTAAATTATAATCCGAGGCCTATGGCTGAATTTATTACAAATTAAGAAATCAACTAACTGTTCAACGACTTTTTGTATGTGTTTGTAAAACTTGTGTCTCAAAACCATTATGAAATACCTCTTATAAGCTCGTGAATATTTTCGAAAATACAAATACACATATTTACTAGATAATCAAAGAAGTGCACAAATAAAACCAACAACTTAATTTATGCTTTGCCAAAATAACGTAAAAAAACAGATAATGATTTTAAAAGTATTAATCCAAATACTACCTGTAATTACTTTTAGTCAAACTGCAAATTATTGAACTACTTAATTGTGGAAATTTTTTATTTCAAATCAAAAAACAATACAATTTTGTAAAGTTATCACAAAATCTATCCCAGTGTTCGCACGATTTAATTTGGTAATTGCCACTTGCTTTGTTTATTCAATTAAATGTGCTCGCCCTATTTATCTCCTACCGAAGTGCGTTCAACTGCCGAATTAGCCAATTCCATTTGAATGCCAGACGAATTTGGCCATTAAATTGCTCTATAAAACAATCGCCGCCGGATTCCCTGGCGATTAGTTGAAAAGGAATTCTCCAACGGCTCGGATGGGTTGGTCAACTACGCACTGTCTGCTTTGGCTTCTGTCCCTGTGGATCTGGACAGAATGTCAGGGGCAAGTGATCCGCATTCCCATGCAGTTTCAGGCCTCTTTCATGGCCAGTCGTCGTCAACATCGGGCTGGGAGAACTTCGCTCTTGGCCAAGTATAATGTAATTGGTGGTGGACCGGAGACGGCTTCGCGGAATAGTGGAGCCACCGAAACTCTGGATAATCGCTTGAATCTGGAGTACGCTGGTCCGGTTAGCATTGGCACTCCGGGTCAGCCCTTCAATATGCTCTTCGACACGGGCTCCGCAAACCTCTGGGTTCCGAGTGCCGAGTGCTCCGCAAAGAACTTGGCCTGTCAACACCATCATCGCTACAACTCCAGTGCCTCAAGGAGTTATGTTCCGGATGGCCGAAGGTTCGCCATAGCCTACGGCACAGGCAGCTTGTCGGGGAGACTGGCCCAGGACACGGTTGCCATCGGTCAGTTGGTGGTGCGGAATCAAACCTTTGGCATGGCGATGCACGAGCCGGGCTCCACGTTCGTGGACACCAACTTCGCGGGGATCGTGGGACTGGGCTTTCGAGCCATAGCCGAGGAGCAGATTACTCCGCTGTTCGAGAGCATGTGCGAGCAGCGCCTGGTGGAGGAGTGTGTGTTCTCGTTCTACCTGAAACGCAATGGCAGCGAACGGAAGGGTGGCGAGCTTCTGTTCGGTGGTGTGGATGCCACAAAGTTCTCGGGATCCCTGACCTTCGTGCCCCTCACCCGTGCCGGTTACTGGCAGTTCCATCTGGACGGTGTGGAAGTCGGTGGCCAGGTTATCAGTCAACATCGCCAGGCCATTGCGGATACGGGTACTTCCCTGCTGGCGGCTCCGCCCAGGGAATATCTGATTATTAACAGTCTCCTCGGTGGACTGCCCACGTCGAATAATGAGTACCTCTTAAACTGTTCCGAGCTGGACAATCTGCCGGAGATAGTGTTCATCATTGGCGGTCAACGGTTTGGCTTGCAGCCCAGGGATTATGTGATGAGGGCCAACGACGACGATGGCTCCAGCATCTGCCTGTCCGCCTTTACCCTGATGGACTCGGAGTTCTGGATTCTAGGGGATGTGTTCATCGGACGCTATTATACCGCCTTTGATGTGGGCCAACGGCGAATTGGATTTGCTCCGACGCGGTCTCAATCCGTATAGCTAAAACGAGCTAACACATCTGTTCTATTTAACGACTAAACTTGGCCATAAAACGTGGCCGTAGAGAAGTCACGAGAGTTGGCCACGGCGAGAGCATCGGCTCGGAACTTGTTTGTGGAAAAAAAATACAACAGCTGACCGACTCACGTTCAGGTTCGACGAGCCCATCGAATATATTATATGTTTGTTAGCTAAGTTACTTGCAAACTTTCAGGGCATATTTGTTTTCATCATTTCAGAATTTATAAAATATATAAAGTGGTAGTTATTGTTAAATTGATATCGTTTTATTTTAATAAAATTACTTGGAGAAAGCATTATCATATCATATATTTATATTTAAGAAGGTTTTATTTTAATAAAATTACTTGGAGAAAGCATTATCATATCATATATTTATATTTAAGAAGGTTTTCCTCTGTAAATTAACCCATTAAGTTGATAACAATCGTTGGAATATAAGTATCCCCTAGTCTATCTGCTGAAAATCAAATAAGTGTTAATTAGCGAACACAACAATACGGAAAAATCCCCCTATCTAGCTAGCTTGTGACGCCTCTCTGAATAAATATTATTAATTCACAACGATTAAGATCTCGTAGAACCCATATATATAAAGACAACACGCTGTGCACCAGCTTAGTTGTACAAATACATTCAATATGAAATCGTTCTTTGCTCTGTGCCTGCTGCTAGGTCTGGCTTTAAGCCAGGTTGGCGGAAGTTGTCCCGAAAGCTGTCCTGATACGGAGGATACTGTTTGGGCTCTAGATGGTGGAATCTGCTCTGTTTTTCGCAATAAATGCTATTTTGACAAGGCAAACTGCTCACAAAAGACAGGTTTGACTATCAATTTTGTTGATTTTTAATGAAATGTATTAATTTTATTCGTTTAAAATTAAAGGAGAGCAGCTGACAATTACTACTAAAGAGGAGTGCCAGCCTCACTGCGCCTCCATTTGCCCCGCAATTTATCAACCCGTTAGTGGAACTTATAGGGGAAAGACCCGAGAGTTTGGAAATGCATGCAATAAACAAGCCCATGCTTGTGACACTGGAGAGAGTAAGTACAAATTAATCAAAAAATGTATAGTGATTTTATTGGTTTAAACTTCTTGCAGCATATTTGTAAACCAAAGGATAACTACAAGAACCCCATCAATAATATTTAAAAGGAATACAAATAAATGGATTAAAATATTATTAGCAAACACTGAAATTGTTTTTGGATTTAATATTTACATTTATCATAATGAATAATTAAAAATATATAAATACATAAACAGATACTAGGTAGTTTATAGGCATTGACTGCGTGCTGTTTGATGTGTAAATTAGCTAAAACAATAATTCGGAAAAAATCCCCGACATCTGTTGAGCGACGTGACACTTCTGCATATATATTTCCTATTATTGAGATTTCCGAAGATCCGCCCCCTCGAAAACAGGTATAAAAGGGAGTCACACAAAACATCTGTTCAGTTCATCGCGAAGCTCAGCATTTAGTACAAAGATCTTCAATATGAAATCGTATCTCGCCGTATGCCTGCTACTGGGCCTCGCTCTAAGCCACGTTAGTGCCAACTGTTCGGGATATTGTCCAGACACTGAGGATGTGGTTTGGGCTCTTGGAGGAGGATGCAATGTATTCCGGAACAAGTGCTACTTTGACAAGGAGAATTGCCACCGCAAGCCACGTGAGAATATCTTAATAGCTTTATATCAATTTATTATATAATTGAATATATGTTTTATAGCGTTGAAGATCACAACCAAGGAAGAGTGCCAGAAGCTCTGCGCAGATGCCTGCCCACAGGTGTTCCAGCCCACAAGTGGCATCTACAAGGGTCAGGTCCGGCACTTTGGCAATGAGTGCGAAAAGATTGTTCACACCTGTCGGACTGGCGAGAGTAAGTGTAATTTAAATTAATGTAAACAATTATTTAATTATATTCTCTTTATTCACAGCCTTTTTGTAAGCCGAGAGACTTATCGAAGAGATTTCGTAATAAAAAGATTTATACCTAACTTAATTATTTTTATTTGGAGATCCCCGTCGAAATATTTAAATATTTATTCGAATTTTGTGTGCTACGTAAGATCTAAAATAAAGACATACAAAAACTCATTGGGATTATTATTCTGAATCATGCAGTGAAATTAATTAACTAGCTTTGAAGGTAAAACAGATAACAATTAATTATACAAAAATTAGACAAAATCACGTTTAAGCTCTCACGATACATGTCAGCACGTTTGTTTAACGTCAATGAAAATTGGATAGTTATATGTCATACTTTGAACAAATATTAAATGATTATTAATTAGTTTTACTGATTATGATAATTGCAGCCATTGTAGAGTATTCAGATTATCTGCGGCAATATAATTTTGTATTGCTTTTCAATGAAAAAAGAAAGACTAAATTAAAATATAAATAATTTCAAGATATAATTTAAACCCACCAAGTACCTCAAATGTCACTATAAACATTTTAACTGAATTTAAAAATATTTACCAACAAATATCAGATGCAATATTCTACATTAAATGGCTTAATTTGATAAAATTAAATTGTTTATCATAAATTATACGATAAAAGAAATAACAAAATAAACAACATTAGAATTGCCATTAAGAGGCCGTCTTTTACATGTTTGTCGTGTGCCACTATGCAAACACCTGCACATTAATATGTTTCTTAAACTCGTGGCACTGACCAATGAATAAATTATTGGTAACATGATTTCTGAATAATTGAAGCCTAACCCAAATTATTCAGCTCAATTCACTCATGAGTTCTTGGAAAATGTAAACTTGGAAACAATTTTCTTTGTCGATGTTTGCTATATTGATATTGAATTTGGGTTTCCAAATATGTTTTATATATAATAAAAATAATTTTTATTAAAAGACCTAAGTTACCTTGTTTTTCCAAGCTTAAATTTGGGTTCAAAGCCCTGGTTGCTTGCCCAATTTTTCAACCAGCCCCCGACAAGCAATTATTTGGGTCAGATAAGTGTAAGCACATTTAAAAAGTAAGCAAAGTACTTAACATATTTTTTTTTAAGTAGAATTGATTTGATTTTAGAAGTGTAAGCTTTTGACCAGTTTCTGGGGATTTACTGTTTAGTAAGAAGCCAGCCATGTGTTATTTTCCTTCTCAACCTGTTTTCTAAAAAGTGGTCAAATATTTGTGAAATATATATAAAGTACAAAAGCTCTTTAGGCACTTGTATAAATCATGAATTGTTTAACTTGTTTCAGTGAAAACAAATAATTCAAGCTGTTATTTGTTATTATTTAATCTGTATTTTTCTGATTATAAATCAAATAAACATGGGAAAAGGTGTACCTTTTTTTTCTAGCTTGAAATAAATAATAAATTTAGAGTACTAATTCCAATATACTTCCTTCTTCGGGAGATTAAACGAAGTTAGATAGTAATAGGTCTTTTCTTCTCCTAGAACCTGAGATTCATCGGTTCATCTTTAAAGAAAACTTGTTTCAAAGCATTCTTTTGTAAAATTTGAAAAGGGGTTCACTAAATTCTGATTGACACACTGCAGAGTTCAGGGGTCAGAGCTCTAGGTAGAGCAGATAACTGGATTAATGGAACGCCCCAGCTAGCCTCTACACACCATATACCATACACAGCTTATGATTTACGGCTTGCGTTAGGATATTTATATTTTTTAATTAGTCGCTTACCTGCGATGCCATTGCAGTGCTTATCTTTTAATTAATTTCTAATTGAAATGCCGCTTCTGCCAGGTTTAAATTTTTGGCCACGGCTCTACTGCGCCGTGGGTATATAATCGTTTACCTTGCCGAGAAGTAACATCAGTTGTCTCCCGAGTAACGAAGCAAATCGTTGTAAATTGTCTAAACAAATATGGATCTCCGTTTCTTGATTGTTCTTTGCGTTTTCGTGGCCCTTGTCCAGGGATCTGTCAATGAGGATATTGCTGAGGCCGAAGTAGAAGCTCCCCAGGCCGGATATCTGCCTGTCGAGGATGCTGTGGAGCCTCAGCATGGCCACCATCACGAGCCGGCTGAGGTGGGCCATCATCATCACGGTGGACACCATTACCAGGCCCAAGTGCATCATCATGAGCACGGACCCCATCATCACCTGGAGTCGCATCACCACCTGTCAGAGTCCTATCATCAACACCACTTGGCTGAGTCGCATCACCACGTTCTGGGATCGCATCATCATCATCTGGAGGCACCTCTGCATTCAATCCACGGACACCATGGGCATCACGGGCATTATGGCCATCATGTGAGCCATTTGCACCACCACCGAAACTGCCATGCCACCATCCACTGCCCGAGGACTCATAGTGCCACCTACGCCACCGATGGCCACTCCTGCTATCATGTGGGAAACGCCTGCGAACTGGCGATCCTCAACTGCCTGCGTCGCAATGAATTGCAGCCAGGTAATTCGGAAATATCTAACTTAGTAGCAACATTTAATTTTCTTTTTGTATTTCAGTTCTGCGACACATTAGCCAGCATGAGTGCCACCATTTGCCCACAGCTCGCAGATCCCACTAAGTCTTTTCTGAACTGAACTGAACTTGATCCTGATCCTGACTCCATTTTGTTTGTGTACATATATGATTTTATAAACTAAATATAAATAATTAAATACGAACGTATTGTCACTTTTTAACAAATGCTATTGGACTTTTATTAATAATTTTTAAAAATATGAATATAGTTTGTATACCTTTGCAGTTTGCAATTGGACAATTAACAGAGATAAATAAAATATATATATGTATGGTATATATTATATATTTATACATATTATAATAATTATAATAATTCAGTTTGCACAAAATCGATATTCTGAAAGTAGATGAAAATATATTACAAATACACTTTTTTCTCTAAATTTATAAGTTTATTTGGAAAAATAACAGCCTAAAAATATATATTATAATCTGTTCTGTGATAGTTTTTAAGTTAATAAATCTGCATAATAAAAAAAATATTAAAAATAATTGAAAATTTTGCCATTTTTTGATAATTTTAACGTTGTTAACCTTTATAAAATGTTAAAAAAAATAGCAGAAATTTTATTTCTTTCCGGCAGGAATATATATGATTTATGGGGTTAGAAATAACGTGCAAGGATATATTCTTTGTTGTGGGTATTGGGATATTTGAAATTGACGATTTGGGTGATATTTATGAACCGTTATTTTGAAAACCGAAAATAAGGAAAACCAGAATTTTGTTTTTTTGTTTTAGTTAATTTCCAGGGGCGAATTTTACGTTGTTTGTTTTAAGTCGCCATTTAAACCAGTTTTCGCTTAAAGCGAGAAAATTTAAGCACTTAAATTACTTGTATATTTATGTATATCTTATACAATACAACTTTTATTACCGTAATTATTTTCATAAAAATAAATGAAACCAGATTCCAGAATATAAATAGTAGCATTCTTACAAAAAACATCAGTATGCATTAGTATCATACTCCAAAACAGCAATGAATCTTCAAATAATTTTGTTATTTAGTGCAACAATCGTCCTTTCTGAAGAATTGAATAATTTACATCATCTAGAAGATTTGGAGGATGATGATCAAGGACTGCAATCGGTGACCCAGCATTTCCACCCTGCTTCTGGCGGAGAAGATTATTTGCTGGTAGAATCTGGATTGACTGAGCCCCGTCCCTATGCTCCACGTCGCAAGGATTCTGAAATGAATCCCACGCATCCTGGACTGCTGCCTCCTCCGACGAATCCTACACGCCCACCAAGCAAATGCTGTTGGATCTGGTCTTGCGAACCTCCCATGAATACGCACCCTTCAGGCCTTATTAGCTGCTTAGCTACTTGATTTCAAATTTGTTAAAATATATTAAACAAATATAAATAATTAATAAAATATACAAGTATTTTAAAACTATATGAAAAGGAATTTTAGTATTTTATTTAAAATATTATTGGGGAATAATCCAGTATGACGTTGGTAAAGAAAGAGATTAACTTAGTAATATATAATATATATATATAAATCAATTATTTTTGCTTAATTTTTTAGAACTATTTTAACTAATATATATTTTGAACAACTTTTTCTGTCCACAAAATTTTATGTGAATTTGGCAAATGATACATATAAAGCTGAGTAGAATTTATTTGACCAATTGAAATTAATACTTTCTAATGACAAGCTAATGCGTAGAAGCCATGTATAACTAATAGGATATTAATGTATTTTATAAACAAATAAATAAATAAATATTATCTTAAATATTAATGTCATAAGATATACAGATGCTCCCTCTAGACAGGAATACATGGTTTTGTTTATATACCTATGAAAGATCGAGTGGATAACCTGCCTCATATCTAAGACCTCTGTAATATTTCTTTCGGTCCCAAGCTATCCACTATCCAAGCAAGGCCAACTATTATTACCACCCTTGAAAAATAAACAACACACAAGTTTTGTATAACAATTGTTATAATTTGCAGAAGACAGCTATGTGAAAATCGTTTACAGGGAAGAACAAGATAATCGGGGTTCCAAAGAGATTCAAATGTTGCGCAGTTCAAATGACTTCCTAATAAGGCCTCTGGTGAGGATTTCCCTGTCCTGGACGTCCTCCATGGGCACTGCCGGAAGGACGACTGGCACCGCCAGAAGGACGACTGGCACCGCCGGAAGGACGACTGGCACCACCTGAAGGACGGTAAGCACCACCGGCTGGTCTACGAGCAGCACCGCCTTGGGGACGCTGAGGGCGCTGGGATCCTCCAGCGGAACCATAGCCGGAGGCGGGTCGCTGAGACTGGGGAGCAGCAGCATGGCCGCGTGGACTACCAGATGAGACTCCGCCAGAGCTGTGAACTCCAACCTCCGAATCCTGATCCACTGGAGAAATATTAGATCCTTGAGCCAGGACGATGATGGCACTGACGACGAAAATGTAACGGAATGCCATTTTGCTTTGCTTGTTTGTGATTATTGCACTTAAGACAACTGATGCTTTCTATTGAATTTTGTCAACTTTTATACTTATGGAATACTGCATCATATAATTAGCTCAATAAGGCACTTACTCTAATGGGAGTGTGTGACTCATTGTACGAAAGTTAAGCCCAGTACTCAATGTTATCGCATACTTTGATCTTAAAGGTCAGCTTATTTTGTCTGGGGAGATGAGGATTTTTGCAAAATTTTGTAAGTTACAAGTTCAATGATTTCAAGTTTGAATTAATTTAAAACAAAACAGAATATAATAATCTAAAATATAAATAATCTGGTATTAAAGTTCGTAAACCTTTCACCTTAATGAAGTCAGTGAACTTTATACATATTCAACGTTCATTTACCTCCAAGAAATGGGAATTAAACATTTTTCCTAAAACAGTAATAATGGTTTTTAAATGTTTTTGAATAATTCTCCTTGTTCCACACTATAAAACCACTTGGATTTCCTGTTGAAGGCATCAGTTTAAGCTGAAGAAATCTCAAGCAAACACAGCACAATGGCTTTTCGTTACATCTTTGTGATCAGTGCCCTGGTTGTCCTGACCCAAGGATCATATCTGTCCCCAGTGGATCAGGAATCTGATGTTGGCGTCCATCACTCTGGAGTAGCTTCGTCTGGGGCATCTGGTTCCGGCGCTCCCCGTGGTCATCCCTCTGGATCTCAACCTCAACGCCCCGCGTCAGGCTATGGCTCCACCTCTGGCTCTGTTGGAGGACCAAGACGATCCAGCGGATCCAATACCGCTAGGCCTCGTCCTCATGGTGGTACTTCTCGTCGATCATCTGGTGCATCCCTTAATCGTCCTTATGGCAGTGGCAATCGTCATCCTGCCAATCGTCCTGCTGGCGGTGCCAACGCAGGTCACGGAAATCCCCAACAGAACCGCAACCAGAAACCGTATTAGACCAGCAATTCCTTGGCAACATAAGCAATCTAAATTGATTTAGATCATCTAAACAACATTTTACGTTTTATCTTATTTATCACCAAAAAATAACTTCAGCTGTCTTCTGCAAAAAATAAAATACATATTATACCAAAAATAAGTGTGTTTCTTTAAATAAGGGATTGGTTTCAGTGAACTATTGAAGATGCTCTCTATTTTAATTGATTTTGAAATATAATATTAAAAAATATATATATATTTTTATAAAAGTTATCAACCTTTTTTATTATTCTAGAGGAAATTATAAAAAAAGTTTCCATAACGAAATCATTAAGTCACAAAACATTTGCAACCCTTGAGGTCCATGTTAATCGCTTGGATTTATTGTATAAAATGTAACTTTTTATAATTAATATGGTATTTTAAGATGATACTCCAATAGAATATTTATGGTATCGAATAAATTTTAAATTAATATATATTAAAAAAAAATAAAGGAGGTTTTTTTTCCCCTTAATTTTCTTATATTTACATATGTATTTTGATTTGTATTTGTATTTATTATTATTACAATTTCTATGAGATTCAAATGTAAATTTTAATACGAAATTAAACTAAAACTATTGAAAACTAATTTAGTGTATTAATTTGTAATTTAATTCGATATTGATAAATTATGGCATTTCTCCAGAATTCATTGAGATTATTGATAAAGACTGAGCGCCTAAAAACTATATTTAAAAAATATATATACATATATATATATATATATTATAAAAATAAAATGTTTGTAGTAGTTACACACAATATAATTATTGTATTCAACTTATTTTCCGACTCTCAAGTTCAACTTGCCACGTGCTAAGGAGATCAGTGAACTGAGCTTGAATAAAGAGTTCGAAGAGCAAAGTCCCTTTAAGCGTGCCAAATTGAATCAAGATAGTGATTTTGTTTAAATTAAATATTAAAATGTTGTATTATTTGATATTTGGTTGATAGTGTTATTAAAAAAGTAACAAACTTCGACTATAAATACATTCCCTTACTTTGTTGAAGGCATCAGTCAAGTTTGAATAATCGCAGCAAAATGACATTCCGTTTCATTATAGCCTTCAGTGCCTTCCTGATCCTGGCTAACGCATCGACTATCAGGCGAACTAACCAGGATGCAGTGGTTGTAGTCCAGCCTGCAGCTCCAGTTGTCGTCGTTTCGCCAGGACAACAAGCCAGACCACAGCCTCAACGCCCCACCCAAAACCGTGGCCCACATCCTTTCCCAGTGCGGGGAGCTCATCGTCATCAGAATTCGCCCGTGGCTGTGGTCGTTCCAGTTCCAGTTGCAGTTCCAGTTCCAGTCGCTCCTATTCGCAATCCCCATCGAGTGGCTGCCCCAATTGTTGTTGGATCGGGTCATTCGCACCGCCACCAGGGCCGTATTCACAACCAGAGACCCTTTTAGCCTGAAAATGATTTCGAAACCTAGCACAAATATATTCGGCAAAACCTAAAACTAGGCATTAAATGTGGCCATAGAAGATTGTCTAACCAAACATTGTTTAACCATAATAATGCTTAGCAAAAATAATTAAATAAATATTTGAAATATATAAACACATATATAAATTTCTTAATTCAATTTTCAGTGAGTTCAACAAAACATTTTAAACAGTTTGAAGGTCAAAAATGTATCATTTGTAATTAATTTTAAAGTGGAAACTCCAGATGAATTTGATTTACGACTCAGTCTTAAAAATCTTTTAAGCAATTAAGACGATATTTGCTTCAGTAAAACTCTTTTGTTTTCTCCACTCTCCTGTACAAATACTTGTATAAAAAGCCAGATTTCTTACAAATTTTGAATCATTTAGTTCAAATATGGAAACAAATATGGCACCGCTCTTCATCGCCACATTAAGTGTCCTGTTTTTCCAAGTCCAAGGAACGCACATTGTGCAAATTGAACCCGAAGCCGCCCTGGAATCTCATCAAGTTGGCGGTATTACGTCGGGTGCGCCTATTAGGTTCCCCGAAGTACGACCAGCCCCTCAAACTCAAACGTCTGCTGGAGGATATCGTGTCGGTGCTGGAGCAAACTCCGTTCCACGTCTTGGCCAGGCACCTCGTCCCAAGGCAGCTCCTCATCCAGCAGCACCTGCATCTCACAGACCGCCTGGTGGATCATACAATCGTCCAGGAGCAGGTGGCCTAAATACCGCAGGAGCAGGCTACGGAAACCCCCACAAGAACCGCAATCATATCCAGAAACCGTACTCAATACTTTAAAATCTGACACCCATGATTATACAAATAATGAATATATAACATATACAAAATTAACGTTTTTGATTTGGCATTACGACCATAGATAATTTATAAAGACGCTTGGAGTAAAAGCTTCGAAAATGCTTTAATTTAATCTTAACAAAACATTAAAATATTGACCAAATTATTAATAATAATGATTGGTATAAGGCAGTATTTTTTATTTATATTACAATCGCTTGGGCTATAGTATAATTTTTTTTAGGTTCTCTACTTGTTGTATCTTATGTGTTTTCTAGAAATATTTGTCAAATACAGACAAAAACTGAATACGATTTAAACATTGGTCCCAAAATGGCTTTAATCTTTACCAATTCACTTAGTAGTCTGATCTGGCAATACGCTTTGGGCCAACTATTCAAGAAATGTTTAATACATTAAGTGCTCTCGGTTGATTGCGTTACTTGTGGCAGCCACTTTAATTGGCATATTAACAAGTTCATCGAAAGTGCAATTGCCGTTAAAATTACACACCTTTTCTGGTGAATGAGAATAAGAGATTTAATATTTTTAAATTTTTCATAATAATTTTATTATAAGCTGAAGACAAAAGTGAAATTACTGTATACAAATATGTAGTTTAAAACAAGGCAATATCCAAAACAAATAAGTTGAGCTTGTGTCGGCGGATCTTCTAATAGGGCTTTGGGTTGCGATTGCGGTTCTGGTGAGGATTTCCGTGGCCGGATCCACCACCAATTGGACGGCCTCCATGGACACCACCAGAGACATGACTGGCCGCAGCAGGGCGATTATATCCACCGGTCTGACGGCGAGGGGAACCTCCATGGGGACGAGGGCGCTGCTGGGATCCTCCCGCAGGTCCATAGGAACCCCCATGACCAGAAACGGGGCGTTGTGGCTGCGGTGCTGCGGGATATCCTCGTGGAATACCGGCTCCAGACGACACACCACCAGAGCTATGGACTCCAACCTCTGATTCCTGGTCCACAGAGGACAGATAGGATCCTTGGGCCAGAACCACCACAGCGCTTATCACAAAGATGTACCGAAATGCCATTTTTTGAAATTGAAAATTGAACGATTGCTGAATGGGTTTCAACTGATGATTCCTTTGGAAAAATGTTTGCTTTTATATCTTAGCCCAAAAAAATTTAATTTATTTTATAAATTTCATAAACTTGACGAAATCAAATTAATTGCACTGAGGCCACGCGTGAACTTTACACTACATTTGGGTTTCCCCGATCGATCCAGTTCTCATACTTTTGCGGTGAGTAACCTCCAGTTTGAACTCATTAGGTATTTTTATAAAATTTAAATCCTAACAGTAACTAAATTGCGAAATAACATTACAGATCTGGTTTTGAAAAGTGGCTTAATGGTTCTTATTACAAGCACAAATCAACATCTGGCTTACAAACGCATTTAAAAGTTAGCTGAAGCAAAAAAGTAGAGTTTTCTTAGCCACAAGACATGTTTATCTATATTTTTCCTTTCATACTTTTTCGGACAACTCCTCAAGAAATATATGCATAATACATGAACAGAGCTGGCCAACACAGAAGCCCCTTTTAATACAATTATGGCTTAACTAACATTACTGCCAGCCATTGGTTTAATTGGCATATAGAAGACTTGATTAGGCTGACCATTAGCTCTGCCAAAAGCAGACACCCATTGCTGGGGGATCACAGGAAGTTGGACATTTGCGAAAATATAGTTTACCATTTTCCTATATATAGGAAAATATAGGCGAGAAGAGAGCTTAATAATGGGTAACCTTGCCTTATTTGGCTCAGGGTCAGCTCATTATCCATAACAATGAAAGCAAATTAGGCTTATGATTGTTTAAGAAATTGCAAAACCAATTGCTTTGATAGCCGGGCAGGCAATTATAATAAAAAGTGCGAAATCATGGTGGCAACATTTAATGAAATTACGTAAATTTGTGAAAGAGTATACCATTTGGCGATTTCTATAATTTAGAAAGTGTAGCAAAGTGTGGGAACCAATTGGCTTGGATTCCAGCCCACCTCTTTTAAATTATTTTAATTATTATTACCTTTAGTATTAATTTGGGGACATAAAGACCCTCCAACCAATTCGAGCTCCATTCCCCTGCAATCATGACTCATTCTCTGTGTTGTCACCAGCTGTGCGATCAGGGTGTTAACACTTTTTATTCATTTATTTTTCGTTTGTTGGGCTGACATGCAAGCGTTGCGGGTTTCCAGTTACTCGATTTAATTTTAATTATATTTTCGGTACACAATTAGCTAACAAATCAATGCGAGAACCGTTGTACAAAGAGAACAAAATGGATAAAAAAGACAAAAAACACACACAAATTGTATATCAACAATTGCTCAATCGCTTCGATCAAATAACAAATAACTTTGTGCCGAATATTGACATTTCGTAAGCATTTGAAAAGTGAACGCAGCAGCAGCGCCAACAACTACAATCCTAAATGCAGTGCGTTGGTAAAAATCTTGAACACGTTAAGAATGCCGGCAAGGTTGTCTACCATGGCAGCTGCTGCTGTGGGTCTCCATCTCCATCTCAGTCAGCTCCGGTCTTGGTCTGCATCTCGACCCTCCGACTGCGTCTCAATCGCAATCCGAGAGTCTAACTTAATTAAATTGGATTTTATGTGCCGGATTGGATAGACCATTTCGGGCCCCAACGACCGTGGCGAGGTGAGGCTAATCAAATGTCTGAATTGTACACAAAAAATTGAAATGTACATACCTTGAAATGGAGTAAGTCTTATTGGAGTTAATAAGACCCTAAAGAACTGAAAAGAAAATTTTATAAAATATAATTTTAGTTTATAATAAAAGAAAAGGTTTTTGATAGTTCTATTAGGAAACATAACATAATTTGAATTTATATTTATATACTAAACTTTATAGCTATATTTTTTTAAATTAAATATTCACCCACCTCTGTTAGCATATTCTCTAAAAGATACCCATTTTTCTCCAAGTGCAAATGCGTTTACCATTCAAGTGAGCCAAAGTAATGAGCTTTTTGTCGGCTACGCGACTTCATGCCTCTATTATGATGTACATGGCTATCGCCGGGCGATAAATATCAATTAAGACTCCGTCAAATGGCTCAATGGCAGCAAGAAAAATGGTAAACTAATACCGCAGACATGCTAATGTTTTGCTCTACATTGAGGCTATGCGTAAACAAAAATGTCACACGCCATTAAAAATTAATAGCATGTTTAAAAAAGCAAAATTTGAAAAGGAAAAAAAATCAGCAAAGATTAAATTAGAGAAAAAGGAGTTGGACAGTCGAGGCAGTCAAACCGGGTCGATAATAAAAAAATTCGGTGTTTAATGCTCAAAACAACAACGAAAAGCCAGCGTCAACCCCGAACAAAAATTGAGTTAAATAAAAAGAACAAAAACGTGGCACGAACAACTTTTCAAAAAATGCGTGGTACATTGTTAATACCGCCGTTGTTGCTGTTTTTATTACTTCTGCTGCTGCTGCTGCTGCTGCTGCTGTGGTCCAAAAATGTTGCACAACATTCGTGCGTTCATGCAAAGCAATTGTCAAATGCAACAAAGCCCCAAGCCAAAGGCCACAAAATCGATATGGATTCGACTGAGCCGAGCCAGAGCTTTACCACAAGAAAACGCCAAAACCATTTGGCTCTGCTTAGGCCAAATTAATATCAACTGCCTTGCATTTTGACGTTTTCTGGCCGCACTCTGGGTCTCCGCTCATTATTATTAGGCCCCCTTTGCCATAGTTTATGGTAGCCTCCCGCCGAATTTTGAGTTATGCCGGAGGCTTGCCCACCCCATTTAGTATTTGCGGTTTGACAAATTAAATTAATTGGCTCCAACTGATATGCCGCTGCTCGGACGAAGCTCAAAGTGATATTGGTCCGCCGGAGGTGCAGCCCGGCTTGGCAAATTGAAAAAATACGAGTGCTAAAAGATCCGACAGCAGATTGAGATTTTATTTGTACATGGGCATGGATGATTGTTGATAGCGATGTAGGAGCTGGGCCCAGCCGTCACTAAATAATTATTGAGTCTTTAGTTGTAGCGGTGTATTGAGATTTTAGAGTGAGGGAGTGTCGGGATACATGGGAAATTACATACATATTACAGCTTAAAAGGGAGATTAAATTAAACCAAAATCATCGGGAGATATACATGTACTGTCTTTCTAACGTTTATTTATTATTCTTAATTCCTGGAATTTTTATAATAAAATATGCAAATCACCGAAATCAATAAAATAATAAACACAAGTCGTTATTTCATTCTAAATTGTTCTTATAATTCATGTGCCCCTAAATAATGCATTTTAAAAACCTTGAATTTTATTATCATATATTGCCATAAATTGTACTTTGCATATTTCATTATATTTTTTTAATTGAGAAGCCAAATTATTTGTTTACCAACTTTTTATTTCTAAATGTCAGTTGCTAGAATTGGTATCAAATGACTCAAGTTGAGAACTTCACAACAATCAATAGTATGTTTAATTTAACTTACTTCTTTTAGATTTTAAAGTATGAATAAAAAAAAGTCATAGAAGTTATAAACAAATACAAATTCATAATTTCAGTAAATTAAACTTTTAAGATTATTATAAATAAATATAAATAATTGTACATATACATTTACATATAATTATAAATAATTATATTTAATTTTACATATTTATTATAAGCTGTTTTTATTTATTTTTAAGCGAAAAATCGAAAGACTTAGGCAACGAACTGCACCCTACTGACTTCACCACTCGGAGTGGCAGCAGCCGACGACTTCACCACACAACAAAGCGCACGCAACCCGACTCGTTTTCACTCAAACTTTCACTCAAAAACGACGTCGACTCGAGCCAAGCCAAGCTTCAGTCTTCGGCTTGGGGCGTCTGTTTTTTTGTTCTTTTTATTTATTTTTTATTTGTATTTATTTGTGTTTTTCTTGCTGCTGCCGCCGGCACTTGGCAGCTGATAACCGAAGCCGACGCCAGCGTCAGCAGCGCTGCTTGGCGGGCCGGCTCCGTTTGTTTGCTTCTTTTTTTTTGTATTTTGGTTTTTCTGTGGCAGCATCGGCTGGCGGAGCTCAGTTAATTGTTGGACACACTCCGTGGCGGTTGTGCAGGCGGAAAATAGCGACTCAGAGGCGCCGACGGCTAACGGTAACCCCAACACCCAGTGCATATTAAGTGTGTGCGGTATTGTGTGTGCAAGTGTATTGAAAAGGCGATAGTCGCAGTGACAAAAGGGTGAAACGAAGCCCGATAGTAAGAGTGGCCCGCAGCTACAACAAGTGCTTGATAATTGTGGCACAAAAAAAAAATACAAAATCAAAAGACTCTGGCAACGAACTCGGTGAACTCTTCGCGCCATTCCCAAAATTAATTAAGGCCAACTGAACGCAGAAGTCGTCGCATCGCGGCCATAATTGGATTAATTCACAGCTCTTGGTCGCCAAATAATAAAACAGAGCCAAACGGTGCCATATAAGCAGCTGAAAACGCATTTAAAGAAGTCATTAACAGCAACGACGGCCAACGGCCAAGTGGCAACGTGCAACGTCAACAAAATGATCTTAAGGTATGTACGAACGTTGGCTATTTCCTAATGAGCCGTACTCTCGGTTTTGGTACACATTTTTCCAGTTAATTTCCTGTGTGTGGCAAGTGATCGGGCTAATCGTCTCGGAAATGTCTAGACCAACTTGGCGACTGGTTCTAGCCATAATCTTCATCGTTTTTATGTAATTTTTACGTGTTCGTCGCCCGGTTATGACGGCTTTCTGTTAACATTTCTCCAACATTCTCGCCTCGTTCTCCAGTTATTGTGTGTGTGTTTATGTTTGCTTTGGCTGGAAAGTTCTGAATGTCGTTGGCACAGAAAGTTTCGTTCGGTGTGTGCGGCATTCCGGGGGATTTACGCCGAATGATTAAACGGCATTGCGCCATATATGTGTTTTGATTTGTTCATTTATATTCAGGCCAACCTGTGCTGCGAGTTGGTTAGCGTTTTTTTTTTTTTTTTTGCTTGTCCAACAA